CCCGATTTGGAGGGTTCCGCCCGTCTGCGGGTCCACTTCATGGGTCTGGTTCATGGAAGACTGCACACACAAACGATCAATGACTATCCAGAAAAACATGACGCCCGTTAGACTGCGAGGCAGACCTTCGTAACGGCTCAGAAACGGGCCCGTTACAGACATGAAACTCGAGAACGGCCCGGCTAGGAGGCCGAGGAGATGATGCGACTTCAACTGAACGTCCGGGAAACAAGCCAGAACGGATCGGATTTGATCAGCCATGTCTAACTCCAGAGCAATTCCAGATGAATTGTCTACTGAGCGCAATGGTTCCTCTTCCAGTTTTAAAAACGCTCAACATCCATGACAGAAAACTGCGAAAGTTATACAGCGACGGTGGAATGCATCGTGAACTATTTTGGTTTTATTGACCAGTGAATGCCAACACTACGACAGAATTGGTTTCACACGACATAGCGCCAGGCACATCCCTACTGAAAACAGCACACCTAAAGCGCAAGGCAGAAATGTTATGTTCAGTGTCTACTACTTCTACTTTGTGTGAATCGTTTCATACCAAAACGACGAAGAGCTCATTGTTTTACAGTTCAGATTTTCCTAGTCGTTTCCGACACAAGAAAACCTCACGAGACAGAATGTAATCAGAAGATTGTTTCCAAGGACGGTCAGAATAACCGCACTCCACATCGATTATTATATTCGGTGTCTGAATCATGATCCAGTTTATGCATTGATATGAAACGACCACATCATGTGATTATCGGTCCCGACGTCAAACTAGCAGAAACCTCATGAAACATGGTACGCACTGCGTAGAATGTTTCCCAGAAAAAGCATAACAGAAGCTGATTGTTCTGCATTACCACAGTTCGTAAGTAATTACAATAGATCACTTTGGGTATTTGACGTATAGCGAATCAATTAATGTAAGTAAGCTCCGTTTGTTTCTAAACGTCATAAAACTCGGTGTTCTTGGTAAGTCTTTTTTTTTTCGTTCCTAAAAGCAGTCTTGATCTGGTATAAGGTGCAAAAGGAAAGCAAACATGTACACCAAAGACAATGAGTTACTCGAATAAATCTATCCAAAATATAACTACGCTCTACGCTAGCCTATTTCCGCTCTTTATTTGTGCCACGTTTAGCTAACCTCCTACGCCGGATGAGCGGGAAACCCACCCAAACAAATACTCCTCCCCGCCGCTGTCGCCACTCTTTCAGAAACCACTGACCTCCGCACAATCCATCAGCGACAGAGTGCGTGCCATCGAACGCATCCCATCCGCGCGGCTGCCAACGTTTGAGCGGAGATTGCTAGTCCCACTCCGTCTGGCAGGCGCAAAACAAACGGCCTGGACGTAGCTCGGCCACTCAGCCGCTCAGGCTAGCTGTCCGGAGCCGAGAGAGAGAGAGAGAGAGAGAGAGAGAGAGAGAGAGAGAGAGAGAGAGAGAGAGAGAGAGAGAGAGAGAGAGAGAGAGAGAGAAAGAGAGAAAGAGAGAAAGAGAGAAAGAGAGAAAGAGAGAAAGAGAGAAAGAGAGAAAGAGAGAAAGAGAGAAAGAGAGAGAGAGGGAGAGAGGGAGAGGGAGAGAGGGGAGGGAGAGGGAGAGGGAGAGGGAGAGGGAGAGGGAGAGGGAGGGGGAGAGGGAGAGGGAGAGGGAGAGGGAGGGAGAAAGAGAGAGGGAGAGGGAGGGAGAAAGAGAGAGAGAGAGAGAGAGAGAGAGAGGGGGGGGGGGGAGAACCGTGGCCCAAAACTTGCCGTTAGCGTGTCTGACGAACCAAGCAAACAGACCGTAATACCACTAGCAACGGTTGGTCGGCGATAGGGCCACGTCATTTACAGAACTGGCTGGTAGGGGCGCAACGTCAGTCACGGATCACTTGCCACGTCATTCAACACGTCAGCCTTCATGTCAGTTGTCACGTCAGTGGATCACGTTGGTTAGTCAGGTCACTTTGTGCGTCAGTCTGCACGTTAGTCACTACTTTAGTCGCTACGTAAGTCTCCTAAGTCAGCCCCAGGCCAGCCTCGCAGAGCCAGCCAGCCGACGAGGACTCGGTAGGTACTACTGGATAAAAGCGTCCGCGTAAAACAGTGAGTGCCGCAGCACAGAGAGAAAAGAGTATGGATGAGAAGGTCGTAAAATTATTAGTTCACAGTAACGAAAGGATATGGCTGGAGGTACAGCCCACCGCTAAAGTAATGTAGGGTTTTACCAATTGCAACGATTGGCTTTGACTGGCGATTGTTTAATGCGGAGTGATCGAAAAGAAGATGTCAATAGCTAAAATTGCAGCTGCAAGGGTGGCGATACATATTAGCTACATTCAAAGTTTCATTGTAGTCTGGCTAATCGTTCCTAAGCTTCAGAAGCAGATCATACCCATGACTGAAACCCCACATTACTTCTGCTGTGGACTATACCTACCTCCGGCTATTTGGCAATGCCATTTAAAACCGTGCTTAAGTTAGTAATGAAAATTGATTCCATAAAAACACATTAAGCATCGGACAGTGTGCATTGTACACACAGATAGATAAGTTCTTCACTGGTACCATATAATCCCTTTCTACAAAGCGCCTGCTCTGGGAACGCATCAGATGGCATTTCTCCCTGAACACACCATCTACCCATCCGTCCTGCCCCGCGTCGACACTTTTTAGCAAGAAATATGTACCGTCAATCATTGGTGTCTTTATAAGCCTCTGCACTATCTGCATATTACCCAGACCTCTGGAATAACTGAATAACTAATATAACTAGAATCACTGCGCATAATCCAGTACGGAGAAGTGTGTCTTGTGTGTCTTGCAATGTGGTATGCAGAACAATGCACCCTCTTTAGCTACGGGATTGTAAGGCACGGGACAGCCTGGCTGCCACGTCGGCTACCTAGCTGCAAAATCACCGGAGCTTCAGATCAGACGTACAAACTTACAGACAAAGTGAGTTATTGCCTACACCGCTCCATGCAGACTAGAACAGCCAGGCAAAGCGGATGACGGACTAGGATATCCCAAGAGTGACAACGATACACGAAACCGAGCTCTAGATCACTCATCACAAAGTCTGGCCCTTCGTCTGTCGGGTATCAGACGTTATCTCTGCAGAGACGGTAACCGAACGCATCGGGCACAATGCCAGCTTCCGGTCGCTCTCCGTCGTTTAAAAGCAGTCAGCGGAGATAAGTTTACGGCAAAGTCAGGGGCGTAGGCAGGGGGGGGCCACTGGGCCATGGCCCCCCCCCTTGGCGCCGAAGGCGCCCTTTGCGATTGGAGGGCGCCGAAGGCGCCCTCCAATCGCGAATGTGTTTACAGGGAAAATGTGGTTGGAGGGCGCCCTCGGGCGCCCTCAGCGCTCTAATCGTAGCGGTAGTCGCTAATCTAAGCCTGTTGATCGCTGCCCTCCTACTCACTGGCGCCCTCATTTTGGCCGGCATACTCCCACCTATTGGCGCCCTCCTATAAATCGGCGCCCTCTTACACAAAGGCGCCCTCATGTAGGTCACCGCCCAGCTACCCACTGGCGCCCTTTTGCTGGTGGGCGCACTCCTATCGCGCCCACTGCGATAGGGCGCCTATAGCGCCCTCCTCTGGAATTTTGGTTGCCGCCCTCCTCCCGTCTAGCGCCCTCCTGTTGATCGCCGCCCTTCTGCCTATTGGTGCCCTCCTACCTATTGGCTGCCTCCTGTAACTCCTGTTGAATACTCAGCTGATTGGAACGGCCTACCTATTGGCGCCCTCGTGTTCCCTTCTACCCACTGGTGCCCTCCTGTTGATCGCCGCCCTCCTACCTACTGGCGCCTTCCTGTTAATATGCAACCTCCTCACAGGCGCCCTCCTGTTCAATGTCACCCTCTTGGGCAAAGGCGCCCTCCTCACCATGGCTGCCCTCCTGTTGATCATCACCCTTACACCCATTTGTGATTTCCTGTTGATGACCGCCCTCCTAACTATCGACGACCTGCTGTTGATTGCCGTCATCCTGCCTATTGGCGACCTCTTGTTGATCGTCACCACCTATCTATTGACGCCCTCCTGTTCCTCGCCGCCCTCCTACCCATTGGCGGCCTCCTGCTGGCCGCCGCCCTCCTACCTTGTTGTGGATGCCGTCACCAAAAAACTTTTTCTACACCGTCACCCATGGGCAGAGCGTCCCCACCAACCCTTATTGTTGTCCCACCAACTTTGCTAAAAGAACGAGAAAGGCTTTGAACAGTGAACACATAACAGGTGTGCCTAAAAAGCGAAAAAAGAGGTTGCTTTTTGAAAAATTTGCGCGCCTTCGGCGCGGTATTTAAAGAACACTCCGTCGAAATGAATTTGGTACGTACCTATTGCCAATGACTTGCAACCTTTTTGTCGCGTGTGATATTAACGCGATAGTCGATACCAAGTTTCGCAGCAATGCGCGTCGCCGCTTTCCTTAAATACGCAAAAAAAGCTGGTGGCGTGGTAAAAAAAACGCCGCCCCCCTGAGCGATCGATAAGGATTTTTTATCTCGCCACCGTATGGCGCCCTCCTTGGGTGAGGTGGCGCCCTCCTAACCCTTGGCCCCCCCCTTCGCGATTTTCTAAATACGCCGCTGGGCAAAGTGCAAATTGAGAGGAAATCGTCGGAAAAATGTCGATGTTTTGCCATCGTAAAAGAACCTCGTTTAAACTTTACCGAAGTCAATTTGTAGAATAAGGCTTTTTCTGAAAATTAAAGTGAATAGCTTACCCAACTTTCCAGGCTGCATTCCTCGAAAAGAGGCAGCTAATCATCTCAAGGAGTCTGGAAAGTTACTAAAAAGTCGAAGTTCCAACAGAAATCAAGAAACTTCGTGAAATAACTTTCAGTCGGTTAGCATCTACATCGGCCACTCCCGTTTCCTATTAAAATCAGCACGCTTAGCGACAGTGCCGCAGGTATTGTCATAACGCTGTCGTGCTGCGTGCAGCCGGCTCCTACGGACCCAGCGTGCAGCTCTAACCCCGCCGCAGCGGCGCGGGGGTACGTACATGTGCTTGTGCGCCGCCTTGAGCGCCTTGGCTGCCTCGCCCATGGTCTGCAGTACTGCTGTGTTGGTGTTGGCGCCCTCCAGCGCCTCGCGCTGCATCTCGATCGTGCTGAGCGTGCCGTCAATCTGCTGCAACTGCTTCTCATAGCGCTTCTTCCGCTTCAGCGCCGACAGCGCCACTGGCGGCAGACACGGGAGGTGATAGTTTGTAGGCGGCGTACAGTAGGCCGGGTGCGGGACGTGGGGCACAGACATCGCAAGATCACGGCGAATAGATGAACATATCGAGTAAAAACGATTTTGAAGCAAGAAGTCATATTAGGTGACATATAAGTTCATTCAAATACAAACTATGCATTCCAATATTACAAGGAAAGATAGGCACTAGGCAGCATTAAACCATACAAGCCGAAAGAACGTTTTTTTTTTCCCGCCGAATGACCGTTCACGAAGACTTAGGCCATAACACGATACAGGCTACAGCATCACTTAAGGTAGTATCCCCCCTCTGATTAATGATTGGCTGTAAATAAAGGTAAAATGACTTTTTCAACAGGCTGTCGCCGATGAACAGATGACGAAATGGCACAAAAACGTAACAACATTCGGAAAACATAAGACGTAGGTCCATGTAGAAGCGCAGGCCCTGCGTGGAATGACACAGCCTCCGGCCTCCTCCACTTACCTCTCTTGTTCTTCGTGCCATTTTTCCTTGCTGTGGCTAGCTCGACTTCGATCTTTTTCTCTAGGAACTCCTGCTTTTTGAGGAGCATCTCCTCAGTCTCTCGTAGTTTCTGGATGGCATCGCCCGTTGATGGGGTTTCGTTCTCCTTCTTACCGCCAAACAGCTTACCAAAGAAACTCATTTTGAATAGATATCTATGTGAAACAACCTGGTACTTATAGAGATGTTAGTTCCGTCTGAAACAAACAACACAGGAAAGTTACTCATTGGAGTGTTGAACAGCATGCACAACACAAGTAATCCTGAGCAGCATTGCAGCCTGGGGCAGGCACAAGGTATGCAGTACAGAGCATACAGTATGCACCACATGGATATATACCCTGTGCAGCTGTGGTAGTGAACAGGGTGGAACGCCCTCTACCATGATACAAGAAGAAAGAAACCTAAGAGTATCCATCTATTCTGAACTGAATTTTGTCACTCCCAAACGGTAGCGGCCGTTTCCAATGCCCTGCAGATGTTTGCTGTGTTTCCATTGCCCTCGCTCACATCGACGAGTTGAATTTACGCTTGTCCTAAGAGCAGCTCGTCCGCCCTCTACCTGGAGTTTGGAACACTGTCAGAGGATCAATTAGCAAAAGAATATCAGCAATGGCTGGAGCGGGTTCAGAGTCGTCTCACACGATGGTGAACTGGGAACCATTCGAGCACCTTCCCTTTCCTGGGAGACTAGAACGTCTCTGACTGCTGTTGCTGTACTACCGACAGAAGAGGGATACTGACCATTTACCAGCTGTTTCACTGTTAAATGGATATGCTGCCAACCAACTCCATCACCATTAAAATCGAGCTGACCAAAATTGCTAGCGTAAATAGGGGGAAGTTTAGGACAGTATCTCGCGGTCTCGCCCAGTGAAACAGATTCAGCATACAAACCATTAATGACTGGGGCACTCTCCCAGCTGAGGTATATGCCTGCCAAAACACATTTGACATGTAAGGTGTGAATTGACTGGCTCTTAATGACCCACATAATGAATCTTAAACCGCGCCGGGCCGGGGTGCGGTTTTTCGCAGATATCTCAAAATCTTTATGGCACACCTGTTCGTGCATCTTTTCCGCACATGTTGTGAAAATTTCAGACCCAGGTCGCCTTAGGTCAGGTCACCAGATCACGTCAAGTGACCTCACCTCAGAAAAAATAAGAATGCTCGTCATAGCTACACCGATTGATCGATTGCCTTGAAACTTTCAGCGATTGATTAGAGCAACATTATCTATAAAATGTATATCTCGGAATTTTGATATCGGTGACACCTTTAGACACTCTCAAACATCGAGATGTAGGTAAGATTGACACACTGAACCGGAAAATGGCAACTGTGACCCCTCGTCATGTCCCCGAGGTCATCTCAGGTCACGAACGGAATCTAACAGTTTTTCGCTAATAACTTCTGATAGAGGCGTGCTAGAGCGCTGAAAACGCCTTAGATGTGTTCGGCTCGACGTTGCGGATCGACTGATATGCAACATGACCTTTTCCGGTCAGGTCATGACCTTGACCTGAGGTCAAATTTTCAAGTTGACCTTTCAAGGTCAAATTATAGTTCATTCGACGCGTCTCGACGAGAGGAACACGATGCTGGCAAAAGTAATGTCCTGACTCTTTTGAGTCAAAAGTTATTGCCGAAAAAACGTTTTTCGTAAAAACGGCTATTTTTGGAGTTTTTGCCCTCTGGAGGCTAAACCGTTGACCTGAGGTCAAATCTGAGAACATTACTCAGAAAGGTCTGTAAAAGGGCTATCGAATGCGCTTTTCTGCGGCGCTGTAGCTCTATCGGTTCCCGAGATAGCCGTCGGCTGTTTCCAGAATGTTGAAATAGTCAACATTTTACCTTTGGTGACCTCTGGTGACCTGACCTTTGACCTGACCCAAAAAATGACTGAAGTGTTTTCGTCCTTATTTTGGACGTTCTTTCGATTGCCGCTTACCGCGTCTCGCTATGTGGCCCAGGAGCCGAGTTAGAAGGGGGTGTTCAGACACCCCCCCCTCCCCGGCGCGGAATCTCAGAGCTCCGGCCCGGCGCGGGTTAAAAGTCCTGAATAAACATCCCTGCACTGAGGTCTGCCGTCTGAGACTCAGGAAGAGCAAGACTCAATGGCATTAAGCCAAGTGGCTTCTGGCTATACCCATGACCTTCAATCAAATGTAAGGTAAGGTCTAGGTAGGTGTACATGTGGACAAGAAGATAAGGGACAGCTTTCACGAAAAAGAAAAAAAATATTTCCTCACATCAATTGAATACCAGTCTTCATATTACAGGCTCCAAGAAAAAAAACACAGGGAAGCTAGTCAATGATTCAAACATCATTTGCAGCATAAACATAATAAATTCATCATTCATTTCAACCAATTTAAGGCCCAATTGGAAAAGCCCTGAATCACATGCTCTATCCCTTGACATAAGCAAGAGTCCTTTACCATTACCTAGTTAAGGAGCTTGATGAGCTCAAGACCCTAAAGGCCCTAGTGGTCTTCAAAATTATCATTACTGGTGAGTGGTAGGGCAAGGGAAAAAGTTAATAAAAGTAATTATAGGGTGGCACTATCCAAAATATACACAAAAAAAATCATATTAAATGCTAGAAAAGACTTGATTGCCTGTCGACTGTCATCAATCTCTGATGAATAACCATCATTGGCCTGGCAGTGGCCTTGCTCATGCTGGTGCCATTATTCACCATGTTGTCCAGGCATGAAAGAGACCGGTGAAAACAGGGCGCCAGAGGGCATAGTGAGTCATGTGATTATGAAGTACTTCACGTTCACCCCCTCTCAACGCCTTCTACATGCTGGAAGTCACGTGGTTTATCAAATCGCCCCAGGTGCCCTGTTTTCACTGTTGCCCAGCAATGACCTTAGAAGTAGGTAACATATACATTATACACTGTGGAAGTAACCACTTCACGGTTAGGGCACGACACATTAATAAATTCAGGTTGGGCGAAACTGCACCTTCCAAATATTGTCAACATGGCCATATTCAGTAACACAACACCACACATTTTTATCATTGTGCCACGAGTCAGGCACAGTATTTCTATTAATATCTATTGGAGCTTTATGGCAAACCACCTACAAGGTCATCTGGGCCCATCACGCACATTAGCCATGATAGGCCGGTGCAAGCGGCAGAGCTAAAAAGCATGCTTCGCAATAGTTTTCACTGCCCGGCAATCCAATCAAAATAGCATGCCAGCTCATGCCTGCTATGTCACACCCCAGATGATATTTTGCCAGGTGTCAGGCCTTATACCACGCTGTCTTATTCACTGCCACTGGTAAGCTTAAGTTCAGCATCTTTAATCTAACCTAGCCCTAATGTTTATCAGGATCAATAAAAAAGATTTGGGACACATATGTTCTGCTCACAGTCTGTAAAAGCAAATATTGGATCAATGCAATAAAAAAGTAAAAACTAAAACACAGTGATTCATACAGATGACTCACCCACTTACAAAACTCACCAGCATTCACAACACAACTTGAAATCGCAACGCCCAGTCACCACAAAGCAGTTATAGAGCAACTGGACGTAAGAGATAAATTTGTAAACATTTGTGCAGTGACGTCAATAGTTTTAAACCAAAAAATGCGACTTAATTGATGGTTTGAATAGTTTATGAGTCAAAAACAAAATATTAGAAAAATGTGCTTTGAATTAGACCAGTAGCTAACGAATATCTACTTTCACTGCAGGTAAAAACCAGCAAAAATGTATTTAATAAAAAAAAAGATATACGATCTAAGTATGTCATATGTTGCTTGTGAAACCATTCCTCAGAGGTTTCTTCGAGCCTTGAATATTGAGGCATTTAAAACGCATCTTTATTTACTTTTACAAAATTATACTCAAATGATGTCAATGATATTTTACAGTTCATTTTTACGTTTTATTTCGATATTATCGTATTTTGTCACATATACTTGTCGATGTACAGCTCAAAATGATATTTAAAGGAAATCTTTGTCAAGTTAACCTATGAAAAATATATTTTTTTGCAAAGACGTCATTTAGCTAAAAGTTAATGGTGTAGTTTTTCTTTTTCAGCAGTCCTCAGCTTATCGTATCAAGTGGATTCCTTGTCGGTCTTTTGGTTTCGAGGGCTGTGTCAGTGGTTTGGAGTGGTTTGGAAATATTTTACAAGAAAAGCCTAAAGGTAAGTCGTTCCATGATAGCTTAAATTTCAATTTGAGCTAGATATGTTAATTGAGCGTGGTTAAATTTTAGTAGCATTTTGCTGTGGGTCTTATGTTATGCTCTAAGAATGAGAACGTTAAATTACGTGTCCGGACAAAATTTCGTCTGACATTTTTTCGTCGGACAGTTTTTCGTCCGCAGATTTTCGTCCGACTTTTATTCGTCTCGCATTTTTTCGTCTGTACATTTTTTCGTCTGTGCATTTCTTCGTCTGTACATTTTTTCGTCTGTACATTTTTTCGTCCGGACATTTTTTCGTTCGTATATTTTTTCGTCTGTACATATTTTCGTCCGGACATTTTTTCGTTCAATAAATTTTACGTCTGTGCACCCAAGGTTGAGTGAAAACAAACTACAATTATATTCAACTGTGAGGCAAATGACGTCATAATAATACTCGGGGCGAAGCAGTGCAGTGCCGAAGGCAATGCCTTAGGAGAGATTACAGGCAATGGTAAGTCAAATATTTTTAGGTTAAGTGGTTGTGTATCTGGCTTCAGGCCGAAGGCCTGAAGCCTGATGCATAACCACTTAACCTAAAAATATTTGACTTACCATTGCTTGCAATCTATTCATGCAAGTAACTTTTTCCTTATCCCCCGGTAGGCAAACATCAGTAGGTAAGGTTAGGTAAGGTTAGGTTAGGTTAGGTTAGGTTAGGTTAGGTTAGGTTAGGTTAGGTTACGTTACGTTAAATTGTAGACGAAAAAATGTCCGGACGAAAAAACGCACAGACGAAAAAATATACGAACAAAAAAATGTCCGGACGAAAAAATGTACAGACGAAAAAATGAACAGACGAAAAAATGCACAGACGAAAAAATGTACAGACGAAAAAATGCGAGACGAAAAAAAGTCGGACGAAAATCTGCGGACGAAAAATTGCCCGACGAAAATCTGCTGGACGAAAAACCGTCATGGAATCGTTAAATTATGATGGCGTTTGGTGACGCTGTTTTCCGTATTTCGGTTGTTGCCTGCTCATAAGGCCTGAATAACTCGGAGATCGTGTTATCATTTTCATGAGCACAAGAGCCAGGCTGAGCAGCGTAGACATTTCCACTTTAAGAGGCGGATTGTGCTAAATGTTCATTGCAGCATCCAGAAGAGCTTGGTGCGCCAAAATGCTGGCTCACAAATGGTCAAAGAAATTTTGGCGCAACCAGGCTATTTCAGAAATTTTGATGCAAAGATGACTAGACCTAACATTAGTTAACTTCACTTGCTACACTACACTCGAGTCATAAACCGAATTGATGATGGGTGCGTAATTTCATCTGAGGCCACCCGTCCCGAAGTCCCCCTGGGTAGACGTTTGTGACAGGCCTTGAATGATTGGGACTAGGATGCAGAGTGTGGACTGGGCTGGTTGATCTTCGGGTTCCTAGCCACTGAGGCTGTGTCTGTAGTGGACCATACTTGAGCAAGGTGACTGGCATTGTTAACAGTTTTTAAGTACGGTTTCATGGGGCTTGAGAAGACTGATCAAATAATTGGGCTGGAGGAACATGGTGACTGCTCAATGCTCATGCTCTATGTGTAATGTAGCGTGCATTATGTGCGGGAGGTAGTTTGCTCGCCGAGTCGTCTGAAGAGAACTTAGTGCACTATGATGATTGAAATTCAGTGCTCTGGATGATTGTCTATTTTTCGGTGCTGGTGTTATGTCTAGCGATATTCCTGATTTGAAATGTCCTGGAAGTGGAGTGAATGACAAAATGTTTGCTGCAGAAGGCCGCGGTAAAGGGGAATGGGCTAACTCCGGGCCCTCCGCAGTCCGCAGTTGTGCGCAAAATCACGAGCACAAAGTGAGTCAGGCAACTGGCAGCACAGCTTGCCGTACCATAGGTACCTATCAACCTTGTGTCCTCTCTCATTTTAACCCTCGCCCGTGTTTTGCCAGCCGCGAACGTAAAAGGTCCGTTGGACCCCCCCCCCTTCCTTTGCCGTTTGGACCCTGATCGAGCTAGAGTTTTGCGGAAAAAACGAGCGTGTTGTCCGTTACGAGAGGAAGCTAATGATACCCAATTTTAAGGTCCTAGGTCATTGGTTGACCTTCCGGGTCAGGTCAATGACTCAAAAGTCGGTAAAATCGGGGCCTGTTAGAGCGTCGTAAAGTGGGGCTGGAATGGGGTTTTCGGGGTGCTGATCACGCATATCATGTCAGTTTTGATCACAGATGATGTCTTCATGCATTTATGCCAGGTCACGTCAGGTCAGGTCAACCAGTAGGGGTCCTGCCGAGTACCTATTCGAAGTAGGTGTCAACCGCCCCTGGCAGCTTCGTAACATGTTACGAAGGCACCAGAACTACTTCGTTAATGATCAAATGGTTGCTTAATTCGAATTCAGCTCCAAAAACTAGCCTAGCAACATGTAAAACTCGAAAAAGTGAACCGACGTCACCAAAGGTCAGTGACCTGACCTGACCTTCAGAGTTCAGGTTACCTTGACACCCACCCTAATGCATGGGAGCAACATCAAATCACATGTTTGAACGCTTGAAACTACGAAAAGACTGCAAACGCGCGGCTAATGCGAGCCGACTAACGCCGAATCGCGTTTCCTGCCAAACATAGTCTCGAGAAATATGTCACAACTCACAAGTCAAAGGTCATTTGAGTCAGGGTCATAAAATTTTCAGGGTAGGTGTAAAACTGCTAAACCCTAGGGTACTGAAAGTTCGGTCGCGAACGGTCTTTTTTACGCGAGGTATTCGCGAAAAATCAGGGGGGTCCGTTCCACCGAAAGTCTCCCCCAGTATATGGTTACTGCATCATATTTTGGTTCATCGTGACCTCACACACACACACTGTTCGTGGTGTTTTGCGCCCACTAGGAGCTGTGGATACGGTGGCTTTGTTGCTCTCTGGCTGTCTGGAACAGCGGTCAGCTTCAATCCAACTTGAATGTTTGTACCCACAAATGTAGGCAGAGAGGGCAATGAGCGCCCGCTTGATAAACCCAAGCGTCGCCGGTATCCACTAGAGGCAGTCGGCGAGGCCAGATGCTAGCGACACGAGCATGATATTTGGCCTAATCTCCACCTGTTCTGACCCAGTTTTCAGACGCTAGTGCCTCGTTGGTTTTCAGACAGTAATTTTATTTACCTCTGGCGTAGGATTGTGTTGCAGCGTTTGCTACGCGTATCTCGCACAGGCCGTGGCCTAGCCGCTGCACTTGGGCGCTCCAACTGAACAGTGTTTGGCCGACAGTCCATGCACCGATACTTTGCGTAGAGACAATGCGAGGTAACCGCTTCAGCTATTCTAAAAAAAAAAAAACTGCTAGATCACAGCGTTGTGTGTGTCTGTCCATGCCCATATCAGCGCTGGCCGCTGACCGCTGATATTTTGTTCGACAGATGTCTCTCGCGAAGCCCCAGATGCGTAACCTGCTGCAGGCGGCCATCAAGAAGAACCTGGCGATCACGGCGGGCGTGACCACGGCCGCTGTCGCCGCCTACTACTTCCTGGTGAAGGCGCCGCGGAAACAAAAGTACGCCGAGTTCTACAAGTGAGTACTCGGTGCAGCGGTCTTAGAGACGCATTTGATGGTGGTAGTGGTGGTGGCTTTGTATGGTTGAATTGAATGAAATCGTTTTTTCATGAATAGTCACTATGACTTCAGTATTTATTTCCCTTTGAGATCACAATCCAAATGCACATCTTCATTTTGAAATGTTATGACATTTGATTTTTTACGTTCTTTGCGATACATTGGGCCAACATATTTTTCCCCAGATACGTGTGGTCACCGTTGTTCGTAGTAAAGTAGTACCTATTGGTCATCCAATGACGTTACCGGTGTGGCTTTTGACACCACTGACTATCGCCACCATATTCCAGGAACTACGACGCCGAAGCCGAGTTCGAGAGGATGCGGAAGCTGGGCCTCTTCCAGGCGTGCTCCAAGGACGATTGAACTCAGCCTGTCAACCTATTGTAAGCATGACTTTGGTGGTCTCATTGAACTTGACACTGTTTTGACATGTGATGGGAAGCTCGTATTTCCTCTAACGCCCTTCGTTGCTACAGGAACTTGAAAGTAACGGTTTGAATAACATAGGTATGCCATCGATCAAAATCGATGCTTGAATTATTGTCCGATTTCGCCTGGCTTTTTAGTTTGGAGATGAATCTACATGAGAGAATTGTGAATTCGATCTGACTGCGAATCATTCATGTCTTTAGCGATTCGAGGTCCCTATTTACAAGAACTGAGGTTATTCCCGAAATGAATAGCTCAATCGATAATCTACACCGTCGTTAATTGTCGTCAATTCCCGGGAGCTTGTTGGAAGTTTCGGCATCTGACTAGGGTAACGTGCATTGCTTTTGTATCTCACTTCTCACGAACCTCTCTTTACGTTTCAGGTTCTGATGTACCTTATGTATCAAGAGAGAATGCTGGTGCCTGACATCGGCGTCGGGTGCCTAGAACCAAAGTGTCCGTCGTGATTTCCACTATAATAAACGAGGCACGAACTGTGGCTTTGTCTGCAGTCTGACTACGCGAATTCATCGTACTACGGGCATTAGAAATTTCAGTTTCACATTACAGATCAACAGGATGTGTAATTGTTGGCAGTTGATGTGGCGACGTTTTGGCTTCAATGACTAACAGAAGGATGTGTGGTTAAGATCACCAGAACCTAATAAGGGTAAGGGATTGAGAAGATTATGCAGAAAACAAACGGCGAAATAGTTGCTCAACCTCGGGGTAACTCAGGCGACACGGCAGCGGTCCCGGCGCAATACCACGGCACGAAGTTGTCTGGAAGGAAGTCGTTGTCTCACATGATTTCCATTTATCTGCTGATGAGTCTGACAGCTGAAAGCCAATTGATAGGTAGACAGCACAGGTTTATTTTAGCTTAATCGGTCAGGCGATTGTGAGTCGTGTGGTCCATGGGACAGTGAATGACGATACAGGAATTGGTTCGGGCCCGTGGCGTGCTGGGCTAGCCCGTTTTTGAAGTTACGAACAGGCACTCATTCTGAGGTACTTGTAAGGATTTTTCAACAATTCTTCCCGGGGAAGGGCGTAAAGCATCAATGTTGCGATTAAAAACATTGGGATTTTACGGAACAATTGCGGGCGCCGGCCTCAGTTCAGTTCAGATCCATTCCATGCAAGTTCCATGAAGTTCGAAGGCGATACCAGAAGTATGGAACGCGGTTTTTTGCGAGATACCTATGAGGCTACAAGAAACAAAATTTTGGCGAAGAAAGAAGGGACATATGGGGCGTGCCACGACAAATCGACAAATAAAAAATTAAATTTGCACCCTCATATTGTATTATTCGTTGAAAACTGGTGTAAGGGGTTGTGATGGGCGGGAAAGCCAGCTGTGGCAAGGATTTTTTTCTTCGAACAACAGTTTCCGAGATATAGCCTCGGGCAATTCCTGGAGTTCGCGCTGCAGCCCTATGTTTGGCGGCCTATAACTCAGAAACTATTGGTTTTTTACGATAAAAACTTTATATGGTTTAACTCACAATCAACCAACAAACATTTTGGCTATCTCGGATTTTCAATTTTTGAAAATTTTGATCACGTGACCTTTTGTCCTATTTTTCGAAGAGTGACCTTGATATTTTCCCCACTGAATGTTGCAATTTTGTCTGATGACGATTAAAGCCTTATCGATTGTCATTCATATGCGATAATAAAAAAAGTGGTTATCGCCCTGCATTGACCTCAGGTCAGGTCATTTTTATGACCTGTCCATTATTACGAGCGGGAGCGACAGCGAGATCTCGAGAATAAAGCAAGATAGGGACAAGCGGTAAACGGTAAAGGGTACACACGGATAAGGTCTATAATTTTTACTGAGGTCATTTTCAGGTAAGGTCAAAGATGACGTCACAGGAGCTAAAAGGAAGTCAAAATAGCGGCACTATACATATATATGAAGTTTTTCTCGAATAACTTTCAAGGTATCCCAGCTAGGAACAAACTAATAGCACCATCGTGATCCTCTCGTCGATCCGCATCGAAACATATGTATGTTGACCTCGAAAGGTCGAAAGGTCAAAAGTTGACCTTAGATCACGTGACCTAGGGTCAACTTTTGACCTTTCGACCTTTCGAGGTCAACATACATATGTTTCGATGCGGATCGACGAGAGGATCACGATGGTGCTATTAGTTTGTTCCTAGCTGGGATACCTTGAAAGTTATTCGAGAAAAACTTCATATATATGTATAGTGCCGCTATTTTGACTTCCTTATAGCTCCTGTGCCGTCATCTTTGACCTGGCCTGAAAATGACCTCAGCAAAAATTATAAACCTTATCCGTGTGTACCCTTTACCGTTTACCGCTTGTCGCTATCTTGCTTTATTCTCGAGATCTCGCTGTCGCTCCCGCTCGTAATAATGGACAGGTCATAAAAATGACCTGACCTGAGGTCAACGCAGGGCGATAACCACTTTTTTATTATCGCATATGAATGACAATTGATAAGGCTTTAATCGTCATCAGACAAAATTGCAACTTTCAGTGGGAAAAATATCAAGGTCACTCTTTGAAAAATAGGACAAAAGGTCACGTGATCAAAATTTTCAAAAATTGAGAATCCGAGATAGCCAAAATGTTTGTTAGTTGATTGTGAGTTGAGCCATATGCAGTTTTATCGTGAAAAAAAAAACTAATAGTTTCTGAGTTATAGGCCGCCAAACATAGGGCTGCAGCGCAAACTGCAAGAATTGCCCGAGGCTATATCTCGGAAACCGTTGTTCGAAGAAAAAAATCCTTGCCACAGCTGGCTTCCCCGCCCATCACAACCCATTAGACCAATTTTAAGCAAAAAATAAAATATGAGGGTGCAGGGCACTTGTCGATTTGTCGTGGAACGCCCCATAAGAGAATCATTATTTACTTTATTTATTTACCTATAAGAAAGGATTTATGTACCGCATAGATATGGTAGCTTCACCTAGGTTCATATATGGCGCAACTGCGACGATACACCTGCTGGTGAAAACACGTGCTTTCCATGCCGCTTTTGTGGGATGTGCTTCCGATTTGCGGGACGTCTATGAGGTACGATATTTTTGCTCTTGCTTACTTGGTTAATTTTGTCAACTGACAGGTTTTTATCAATTATATGATTTGGTCAATGTTGTCATCTTGTATTAGCCGGGGGCAAGGCTACGTTGGCTATACAACCGCTGGGGCTGGGAATGCCTGTCCATGGCCCACGCAGTGGGTATGCTTATCAAATCAATGCCATTGACTTAATTTTTGTGTGCATATTACATTTACTTATACAGTCAAATATTTCATTCATGCGCACGACCTTTCAATCCACATATTAAGGCTAAGCAGCATTTCTCGTCGTAAAAAAACTTTTGAAGCATTAGTGAGCATGTTGAGCTCAAGGTATGTTTATCAGTATTTCTCTTCAACTTGTAAGCATTTTGAGAAAAAAATTGTTTTGTTCATTTGGTTTTTAATCTGATCACTCCATGTTTATGAAATGTGGATGGGATAGGCCTTTACCTATAAGATAATTGAATGGAATATGGAGGTAGGTAAATGTTACGCGCATATACTCTTTGTCTTTATTGGTAGAATAGGGAGTGAAAAATTATTCTGGAAAATTTGATGTGAGTGTGGAAAATTACTTTGATTTGGATGCCCCTTCCCACCCAAACTGGCAAATTTTGGGACACTGATGGATGATAATAACATTGTCTTATAATATTTACATTTGGCGTATCCTGCCTGATCAGAGTAATAGTGACAAAATATTGTTTAGCATACCTCAATGAAATTTAGCTGAATGTAAATATACCTGTGGAGGAATAGGGGTTTGATGCATTAAGCGTTATTTATCAGTAATGTGTGAAACTTTTCAGGAATCAAATCTAAAGCTTTGTTTGCTCACCATTCACATCTTGTAACAGATTTTGCAGACTCCTCAGGCTCAGACTGAGCCTGAGTCTTAACATTTGCACACAAAACTTGTGTTAAAATTTTCCATTGGTGTGGTAGCATGAAATGCAGGGCATTAAATCAAGAAGGACTTTACAGTTGTTCCTTACAAATCCTCTTGGTGATTAATATAATAGTTCCTATTCTGTTGTTAAACTTTTTAACCACTACCAAATAATGTAACAAATTATGGATAAAACTCTGCATTCTGTCAGCCAGGGTTAAATGATCCAGTCCAAATTGTATGCTGATATTTGGATGACTGCTGTTCTTAAATAGGATGTGTTACAGTCAGATATTTCCCACTGTTCCAGTAGCTAAATAATGGTTATGGATGCTATTTTGTTTAAATACCAGTCAACAGATGACTGCAGAGTGCAGGCCCATTGCCTGTGAAAAGTTGCCATGGTTATGTTGATTTCTCAATTTGAGGTTGCAAAGGCACCCTATGGCTTTTTCAATAGACAGTGAAACATTTGTTAGTTATTTTTTACAGCTCTATGCTATTTTTGACAATATGACTAAATGTTTCAGATGACTATGGTGACCAATGAAGTAAGTTGGTCTGTTGTTTTGAAGAACTGCTTTTGAAAATATGAAGTCAGAGTTTCCAGTAATCTACCCAATATTTGATTAATATCTGTCAAACCATGAACAACCAAGTCATGGAAACCGATGATAATCAAACTGCTAGCACTACAACACTACTGCACACTGAACATCTACAGCAAATATGGGATCACCTATCTGAAGATGCCAAGAGACGATTCAAGCCCCTGAGTCCATCTCAGAGGTCGAACAGGGCAGCTGTATGGCGCCACCTGCTGTCCCTAATGAGAGACGGCGACGGTCGGGCGGCCGTGCTGTGTGCGGCGCGCGGCCTGGTGCCGGCGCTACTGGCCGAGCTCGGGCGGCGCGCAGCCGACTCTCCGGCGCCGCTGCTGGCCGCGCTGGCCGACACAGTGCGCCTGCTGCCGCAGCTGGACAGCGCCGTCGAGTTCCTGCTGGTGGGCGTCTCCCGGCCGCCGTGGCCCGGCCGGACCGACCCGCCGGCGGCCGAGCGGCGCTCCAAGAAACCGCGGCTGGATGAAGGGCCGGCGCGGCGTGACCTGCTGGTCGCCCTGCTGCCGCTGGTGCAGCGGTTCCCTGAACGACTGCGCCAGCTGTGGGACTGGTCCGGCTGTCTGCCGCTGCTCCAGGACCCGGACCCGGAGACGCGTTGGCTGGCCGCCCGGATACTGGCGCTCATCTCTGGCATGGGTCCCGGACAGACGGAGAGACTGGCGGCGGCGAGCGGCGTCACGGGGGAGGACGAGATCCGTCTGACAGCCCGCCACCTGAACCCCACTCCAATGGTGACTCCCCCCGCCGCCGGCGGAAGATCACCGTCACCTGACCGTGACGTGATGGTGACGTCACCGGCCCCGCTGCTGACGTCAGAAGACATCTGCGGTCAGCTGGTGTGTGTTGAGGGCGTGACGCTGCCGGTGGTGGACGCAGCGGCGGCCTGCGCCGGTCCACTGGTCCTCGTCCCGGACACGCGGGCCGCCCTGCGCAGTCTGGCGCTGGCTGTGGCAGCCGGCCGGCCGGCGCTGCTGCAGGGCCCCGTCGGATCGGGAAAGACATCTCTAGTTCACCACCTGGCGGCCGTGACCGGTCACGTGGGCTACCCGCGCCTGGTGAGCGTCCAGCTGGGCGATCAGACTGACAGCAAGCTGCTGCTGGGCTCGTACCGGTGCACGGAGGTGCCGGGAGAGTTTGTCTGGCAGCCGGGCTGTCTGGCGCAGGCTGTGACTGACGGCAGCTGGCTGCTGATGGAGGATATCGACCGCGCGCCCATGGACGTGGTCTCGCTGCTGGTGCCGCTGCTGGAGTCGCGCTGTCTGACCGTGCCCGGACACGGGGATCTGGTGCGCGCCGCGCCCGGATTCCAGCTGTTCGCCACACAGCGGCTGCTGCCGGGCGCCGGCGGGGCGCTGCACAAACAGCAGACCTCGCACGCGGCGCTGCTCGACAGGCTGTGGCTGCGTGTTGCCGTGCAGCCGCTGTCGGGCCGCCAGCTGAGCGAGGCAATGGTACACCGCTGGCCGCGGCTGAACACCGTCGCCAGTCGACTGCTGGAGGTTTACACAGTGATGACCTCGGTCAGGGACGACTCTGAGGGGGCGACGGTGGCGGCGGAGCGGGCCGAAACTGCGCGACTTCAGATGAAAGAGGCGCGGTTGGTGTCGACACGGGACCTGATGAAGTGGTGTCAGCGCGCTGGTGACGACTTCGACGTGACGTCGGCGCAGTGCGCCAGCAGGATGTTCCAGGACGCCGCGGACATTTTCTGCGCGGCCGTGGCGCGCCGCGAGCTGCGCCTGCCGCTGGCGCAGGAGATCGGCGCGCGGCTGGGCCTGCTCAGCGCTCAGGTGGAGTTCAGCGTGACCAGCCATAAGCCGAGCGTCACAGAGACGGCCGATGTGCTGACCGTGGGCCGCGCGCGGCTGCCGGTGGCGCGCTCCGCCGGCCGCCCCGCCGTCACCTTCTCGTTCACGCGCCAGGCGTGTGTGCTGCTGGAGCGGGTCGGCGTGGCGGTCGGCTGCCGGGAACCGGTGCTGCTGGTGGGAGAGACGGGAGTTGGTAAGACGAGCAGCGTGCAATACCTGGCCGAGCGGACCGGCCGACGACTGGTAGTGATCAACATGAACCAGCAGAGTGACAGTGCCGATCTGCTCGGTGGCTACAAACCCGTGGACATGAAACAGGTGATGGCGCCGCTGCGAGACGAGTTCGAGACGCTCTTCAGGGAGACATTCGACGCGGCTTCCAACGAGAAGTTCCTGCGTAACATCATGACGCTGTTCGCTGCCGGCCGGTGGAAGGACCTCACCGCTCTAATGCGTCACGTGCACGGCCAGGCTCCGTCTCGGCTGCGGCGCCGCGGCCTGCCGCCCGACCACCGTCTCTGGACCGGCTGGCACGCGGTCGGCCAGCGCCTACAGTCGCTCAAGGACAAGGGTCAGCGTCAGCTGGCGCTCGCGTTCGCCTTTATCGAGGGTACTCTGGTGAAGGCGGTGCGAGAGGGCCAGTGGGTGCTGCTGGATGAGATCAACCTGGCCTCGGCGGAGACACTGGAGTGTCTCTCCGGCCTGCTGGAGTCCCCGGACGGGCCGCTGACCCTGCTGGAGCGGGGAGACGTACAGACGGTGCCTCGACACCCCGATTTCCGACTCTTCGCATGTATGAACCCGGCCACAGACGTCGGCAAGCGTGACCTACCGGCCGGCCTGCGCAACCGGTTCACAGAGCTGTTTGTGGATGAGCTGGAGGACGCGGCCGACCTACGAGTGCTGACGGCAGACTACCTACGCCACCTGGGTGTCACAGGCGCTCAGGTCAGCGGCGTGGTTTCCTTCTACCAGCGGGTGCGCGCGGCGGCGGCCGACCAGCTGCAGGACGGCACTGGCCACCGGCCCCACTACAGCCTGCGCACGCTGTGCCGTGCACTGCGTGTCGCCGCCGGCAACCCATGCGGAGGTGTGCCGCGCTCCCTGTACGAGGCGCTCTGTCTGAGCTTCCTCACGCAGCTGGACCGCGCCTCCTACCCGACCGTGACGGGGCTGATACAAAGTCTGGTGCTCGGCGGCAAGAGCAAAGCGCAGCTCTCGCAGCCGATACCGGCGCCATCTCGCGGACAGTGTGTGCAGTTCGAGGGCTACTGGGTACGTCAGGGTCAGCTGGAGCCGCGTGCACCCGAACACTACGTCCTCACTCCGTCTGTGAAGGAGAACCTGCGCGACCTGGCGCGCGCCGTGTCTCTCGGCGGCCTGCCCGTGCTGCTCCAGGGAGAAACATCCGTCGGCAAGACGTCGCTCATCTCCTATCTCGCCGCAGCATCCGGAAACCGCTGTGTGCGCATCAACAACCATGAGCACACAGATTTGCAGGAGTATGTTGGCGCATACGGTGCCGACGAGACCGGCAAGCTGGTGTTCAAGGAGGGCGCCCTCGTAGAGGCCATGCGGCGGGGACACTGGATCATCCTCGACGAGCTGAACCTTGCGCCCTCGGATGTACTCGAGGCGCTGAACCGCGTCCTGGACGACAACCGTGAGCTGTTCATCGCGGAGACGCAGACGGTAGTGCGCGCACATCCTCGATTCATGCTGTTCGCCACGCAGAATCCTCCTGGTCAGTACGGCGGTCGCAAAATGTTGTCACGTGCCTTCCGCAATCGCTTCATCGAGCTTCACTTTGACGACATCCCAGCAGCCGAGCTGGAGACGATCCTGCACCAGCGCTGCCGCGTGCCGGCCAACTACTGCAAGAAGATGGTGGCGGTGCTGCTGGAGCTACAGACGCGTCGCCGTGGCAGCAGCGTCTTCCAGGGCAAACAGGGTTTCATTACACTGCGCGACCTGTTCCGCTGGGCAGAGCGCTACCGGCAGGCCGGTGATCAGACGACTCGCTTCTACGACTGGGACCAGCACGTGGCCGATGAGGGTTACCTGGTGCTGGCCGGCCGCGTGCGGCGCGACGAGGAGTGTCAAGTGATCGCCACAGTGCTTCAGAAGCACTTCAAACGCACCGTGACACCAGAGAATCTCTTCTCGCTGCATGCGGCCACCTCGCCTGTGACACGGCCGGTGTTGGAGCAGTTGCTATCTGAAGGAGACGGCGGTGCTGCACATCTACCCGCCTTCCGACACCTAGTGTGGACACAGAGTACCCGCCGGCTGGCCGTGCTTCTCTGCCAAGCTCTGAAGTTCCAGGAACCGGTACTTCTCGTCGGCGATACCGGCTGCGGAAAGACGACCGTGTGTCAGCTGCTAGCAGAGACGGCCGGCCGAAGTCTTCACACAGTCAACTGTCACATGCATACGGAGGGAGCCGACTTTCTGGGTGGTCTGCGTCCGGTGCGCACCCGAGCCGAACCGCGCTCAGATGCTGCAGCCGGGGATGGTAACGGAGAAGTCAGCGGAGAGGACCCGGCCTCTGGCGGCGGCGGGCTGTTCGAGTGGGTGGACGGCCCGCTGGTGGTGGCCATGCGTAACGGACACTACTTCCTCGCGGACGAGATCTCTCTGGCCGATGACAGCGTGCTGGAGCGTCTGAACTCTGTCCTGGAGCCAGAGCGTACCCTGCTGCTGGCGGAGCGTTCGGGTGGAGACGGAGCTGACCTTGTCACAGCCGAGACGGCGTTCCGCTTCGTCGCAACGATGAACCCCGGCGGCGACTACGGCAAGAAGGAGTTGTCGCCGGCTTTGCGCAACCGCTTCACGGAAATCTGGTGCGCCCAATCGCGCTGTCGAGAAGACCTGGTGGACATCATCAAACACAACCTGATATCACGAGGTGAGTCCGCCGCGCTGGCCGACGCGATGATGGACTTCATTGAGTGGTTCTCCAGTTCCGACGCCGGGAGGAAGGTGACTGTCAGCATCCGTGACATCCTGGCCTGGGTGAACTTTGTTAACACGGTAGCGGCGACTGGCGTTCCACTGCCGCAGGCCTACATTCATGGCGCCTGTCTTGTGTTCCTGGACGGACTCGGATCGGGACAGCCGAGCAGCGCCGCCGGCGCTCTCCGAAACGCCCGCGCGCACTGCCTGCATGTCCTCTCTGACCAGATTTCAAAACTCTGCCGAGATCCTGGGGTGACTGTGGCTGCCAAACCTGGAAAACTTATCAACACGGACTCGAAGTTTGGCTTTGAGCCGTTCTTGATCGCCAAGGGCTCCGCTGCGACGGCTGGCTCACTGGAAGGTGTGTTCAGTCTGACGGCTGCCACTCCGGCAGAGAACGCCAGCCGACTGCTGCGCGCCCTGCAGCTCACGAAGCCAATCCTGCTGGAGGGCAGCCCTGGGGTTGGCAAGACCAGTCTGGTGGCCGCGCTGGCTCGCGTCTCCGGTCACAAACTGACGCGTATCAACCTTTCCGACCAGACGGACGTCTCGGACCTGTTTGGAGCCGACCTGCCCGTGGAGGGCGGCCAGGGTGGTCAGTTCGCCTGGCGCGATGGTCCGCTACTACAGGCCCTGAGAGCCGGACACTGGGTGGTACTGGACGAGCTCAACCTCGCCTCACAGTCGGTACTCGAAGGTCTGAACGCATGTCTGGACCATCGCGGCTCCGTGTACATCCCAGAGCTGGGTCGCGAGTTCCACCTGCAGCCAGGTGTCACACGCATCTTCGCCTGTCAGAACCCGCTGCACGAGGGCGGCGCTCGGAAGGGACTGCCCAAGTCGTTCCTTAACCGGTTCACCCAGGTGTATGTGGAGCCTCTGACGCCAGCCGACCTGAAACAGATCGCTGCCACCAGTAGACTGCCCGGCGGCGGTCTCTGCCCGCCCTCAGCCGACCTGGCCAAGATGTGTGAGTTCAGCCGCCGACTGGACGCGGCCGTCAACTCGCGCAGGGAGTTTGGACAGCGCGGCGGCCCGTGGGAGTTCAACCTGCGCGACCTGACCCGCTGGTGTGAGCTTCTGTCGGCTGATGCGGCGGTGGAAGATGGAGGGCGCGCGGCCGGACACCATGTGCAGCTGTTGTATGCTGACAGGATGCGTTCCGCCGCTGACAAGGCCGCCGTACTGCGCCTGTCTGAAGAGGTATTCGGTGAGAAGTACGAGCGACCGCCCTGCTATCTGACGGTGACCCGGGAAGCGCTGACGGTGGGAGGAGCACGGCTGGAGCGAGCTGCCGAGCAGAGCCACGTCTTCTCGGCGGCCGACCTCGAGCTGCAGATCGTGCGCCGTCAGCTGCCTGCCATGGAATCGCTCATCACCTGCATCAACCGCAACTGGATGGCGATCCTGGTAGGACCGCCGGAGAGCGGCAAGACGTCGGTGGCGCGCGCTCTGGCGGCTCTCAGCGGCCACCGTCTGCGCGTGCTGACGATGAACTCGGCAATGGACACCACAGAGCTGCTAGGTGGCTTCGAGCAGGCCGACCTGCGTCGGCACCTGGAGCAGGCGCTGCAGGAGCTGGAGGAGCTGCTCTGGTGCGAGGTGCGCGCCCACCTGCTGGACGGCCGGCAGCCGGCGGCGGCGGCGCGCTGCGGCCAGCTGCTCGCAGGCTGGCAGGAGGTGCGCAAAGCCACGGCTCCGCCGGCCGCTGCCGGACTGACGCCAGCTGAGGAGGCCGAGCACTTGGCGGCGGCTTGTGCCGCTGCCGGCCGACTGCTAGAGCTAGTGTCATCCGAGCGCGCCGGTCCGCTGGCCGCGCGGCTGGCGGCGCTGCGTGCCGCCGCGCTGGCCGATTCGTCAGTGAACGCCGGAGGTAAGTTTGAATGGGTAGACAGCGTGCTGGTGAGAGCCCTCCGCGCCGGGGATTGGCTGCTGGTGGATAATGTCAACTTCTGCCCAGCCTCAGTATTGGACCGGCTGAACGCCCTGCTAGAGCCGGGTGGCGTGCTGGAGGTGAGTGAACGTGGTGTGGTGGACGGCGCCGTGCCCACCGTGCGGCCGCATCCCTCCTTCCGGCTCCTGCTGGCCATGGACCCACGGCACGGAGAGATCTCTCGCGCCATGCGTAACCGCGGTGTGGAGATCTACATGCTCGGTCCGGAGGAGACGGGTGGTGCGCTGTCACCTCTGGACGTGTCGGCGCTGCTGGTGCGCGCCGGCCTGTCGGAGGCGCGCCTCCAGCGGCGCGCGCTGCGTCTGCACGAGGCGGTGCGTCAGCGCGCGCCGGGTGCTGAGCGGCCCGGTCTGCTGGCGCTGCTCAGCTGCGCTGACCTGGTTGGACAGATGGTGGCGCGCGGCCTAGACGAGACCGAGGCGCTCCGGGAGGCGGCGCTGGACACGTATGTGCGACCGCTGCTGTCGGGCGCCGCGCGCCGTCAGCTGACCCCTCTGATCCAGGAGCTGGTGGCCGAGGCGCCGCCACCCGCCCGGCTGCCGCGGCCGGCGCTCGCCTGCGCACCTGTGCCGCTCTACTGGCTGGACGCTGAGTTGGCACGTGCGCGGCAGCTCTGGTCGTCTGTGGAGCAGCTGCTGCCCGGTCCTCCAGCCGCCCGACCCCTGCTTCACGCGCTCCGACATGCTCTAGAAGCGGTATCTCCGCGCGGACTGCGGCTCGTCACACTGGCGGCCAGTCAGTCGGGTGACCAGTCCCTGCAGCGGCTGGCGGCGGTGGAAGCTGCGACCCTGTTAGCCCCAGAGGTCGACAAGAACCGACCCGCCGCCTGTTTGCTGCTACTCGCCAAACTCGAGGCCGCACTGTACGAAGAAACTGACCAACAACTGCAAGACCGACTCACCAAATCGTCGCAGTGGAAGCGCGCCTCCATGTACGCGCTGTCTGTAGCCGTTGAGAAGGGCCTGGTGACTGCAGGTGCGCTGCCTCACCCGGCTGTGGCACTCCTGGCTCCTCTGTTGCGTGCTCTGGATGTGGCTCTCTCCAACGGTCTGACGGCGCAGCCCGGACCGGCGGCGGCCATGGTCTCCCGGTGCCGTGCCGCCCTGCCGTGGCGCCGTCGGCTCCGAGCCCTGTGTGACCGCCGACCGCCGGCTGATGGCCTGACCGACTGGCTGGCGCAGCTGGCACTCCACTGGCGCTGGACGACACACCACCTTCTGCCGGAGCTACGCCGGATGGATCCAAACACCGACGGTCAGACACAGCCGGCCGCGGCGGCGCTGGCTGACCTCTGTGCTCGTGTGGATGCTCTGATTGGTGCTGAGGTGAGTCCCCCAGTGCTGTTCGCCGCCCGCGTGACCGAGGCTGTGCAGCGGCCGCCGCCGTTCGCTGACCCGGAGACGGCCGCGCTGGCGGTGGGTTTGACTCGTGTCGCCTGGGCGCTGGATCCGTACCTGAGTCCGCGCCCGGCCGACGCCCGGCGAGTGGACAACCCGACGAGACTGGTGGAGCTGCTCACGTCGGCTGAAGGTGTCCGAGCACGCCGCGCGCTCACGGAGGCCGTGTGGATGACACTCAGTCAGGACACTCACACGGAGACGGCGGCGCTCGCACTGCGTTCGGCAGAGGAGCTGCTAGGCCGCCGCGGGCTTCTGAGGGTGACTGCAGAGCCGATTGTGGAGTTGGAAGAGGAAGAACCCATGGAACAGGATGGAGAAAAGGACGACGATGAGCCGGTGTCGGGGCCGGCCGTGCCGCTACTTGAGGCGCTGCTCAGGTACAAGGAGGCACCACTGGTGCTAGGTGCTGTTTGCAGAAACAGTGCAGTGTCCGACAAAGCGACGAAACAAATCACCACGGAATTCGACTATACTGACAAACTATACCAGGACCCAGACTCGTTTGCTGCTGAGCTTTTTCAGCTCAGCGCACGCTCTCCGATGTACATCGGCTTGTGGCGTGCAGCAGTCGGCTCCGACTCCCCTCCGTCGCTCCAGGCCCGGTTGCGCTCCTCTCTCCTGGCAGCGTACCTTCAGACAGCCGCTTCCGACCCGGGTCACAGTCTCTGGGTGGCCAAACCTCCACCGGAGGACGACGGAGAGGAGCAGCGGCCGGCAGAGCTGCAGAAGCTTCATCCCCGACTCTACTGCGCTGGTGCGACTCATGTGATCGTCGCAGACCTGTGCAAACCTGATGATGAGTCCTTACTGGATTCAGTCGCTATCGGAGACCTTTTACATCGCTGCCGAGAAATGGAAGCTCTGCGCCGACTTCTGTGGAGAAACGCCACCGATCTGTCGGATGTTCGGTTCTGTTCTCTTCGTGCTCACCACCGACTGGCTCTTGCCGTGTGGGAGCGCTTCTCTGAAGCTCTCCTGGCCGCCGGAAGACTGCCTGATGACGTCACATCGTCTTTGATTGACGTCATCAACTCTCTTGCGGCGTCTAGTCAACTCAGTCCTGAACAGGCGGCCTGGCTGACGACTACTGCGGAGATCGCGGCGCGGGGCGCGGAAGCCGATGCACCTACAGCGGTCGGCACTGGTGAATTGTTTGCGCGGGTTGGCGGCGCCCAACTGGCGGTACTGGGTCAGCTGATGGCTGTGGACCCGGTGGAGGAGCGTCGACTGCTGTTGGAGTACTGTGATGACGAGGCTGATGACGTGCAGGAGGACCTGTCGGCTGCCGGCCTGGCTCTGAGGCTGGTCTCCGGAGTGGAGTTGGAGGATCTGCCCGAGCGGCACGTGCCGGAGTCGGTGCTGCAGCAGCGGCAGAGGCTGGCCGCCCTGCGTCGGCAGAGAGCCGAACTGGACGGTGGCGCCGCGTGTCGGCCGACGCCGCCCACCTACCACCAACTGAAACAGGATCTGCGGAACTTCCTCTCATCAGCGGGTAGTCTGTCAGCGCTGGAGGCCGGGTGCGCGGCGATGACGGCCGCGCTGAAGGCTGACCCACCGGACGGCCGCCGGCTGGACACGGCCCTGCAGCAGCTGCGGACGCTGCTCACCTCCTACTCGAGCTTCCTGGCCGGGTTAGAGGCGCGCCACGGCTGGTACCGCGACCTGACTGCGCCGCTGCTGGCCGCCGGACGGCAGACAGAGTTCGGTCTGCGCGTGCTGCTCGGCTGCGGAGAGCGGCGCGCCCAGGCGGCCCGTCTGCCGGTGCTGCTGCGGCCGCTGCAGCCGACTCTGCTGGAGCTGGCCGACTGGCTGCGGCCAGCGCCGGTCAAACTACACTGCCCGCGTGCGGCCGCTCTCCTGGACACATTGCGGGACGACACCAAGCCCCACTTGGTGGCAGACTGGAAGATCCGTGTGCTGATGCTGATCTGCCGCGAGCTTACGGCTCAACTAGCGCTGACTGGCGATGTCAGCGCATCGGAGGTGGGCGCACTTCTGCGTGAGGCGCGTCTGCTCTGGCAGGCACAGCAGCAGCGCCGGCGCGATCGGGAACAGCAGAAGGACAGCATTTACACGACCAAGACCCACTGCCAGGTGAATGACATGGATGAAGAGGCCGAGACTGCCCGTCAAGTGGCGGAGATGTTCCCAGACTACAGCGATGCGTACGCAGACCTAAAGCCACCCGGTCTCGACGATCCGGTCCCCATCGGAGGAGCGGATGCCACTGCTGGTGCTGCGTCTCGGGATGAGCCGGAACTGACACCTGGACAGTTGGCCGAGCTATGGCAGCTGCACCGTCAGGCGTACGGCGTGTGCGCGGCCGCCCGCTGGCTGCCCGAGCCTCCGTCGGATGCGGCGCCGGCTGACCTGGTCCGACCGTTCTGCGAGCGTTACCGTCTGTTCTCAGCGTTGTGCGCCTCCCTGTCACCGCAGCTGGAGGCGGCTGCCGACGGTCAGCTGGCGCCATCCCACCTGGTGGCCGCCGCTGTGCTGGAGGCGGGCACCGCGCCAGAGGCGGCACCGCTCGCGCCGCCGCCGCCTCAGAAACCGTACGATGTGTACCGCGACCCGCACGTGAGCGAAGTGGCGTCCTGTCGCTCTGTGTTGCGGCGGCTTGATGGTCGGTGCGAGGAGCTGCTGGCCAGCTGGCCGGACCACCCGGCCCTGGTTGCGCTGCGGCGCTGCGTGGGACGCGTTCTTCAGCAGCCGGTCACCGCGCCTCTCGTGAAGGTCGTCACCGGTCTGGAGCGGGTGCTGGAGTGCGCTCAGGACTGGGAACAGAACGCGCACCGTGGCGTGTCCCTGTCCACGCAGCTGGAGGAGGTCACTGATCTGGTGCTACGCTGGCGCAAACTGGAGCTCGACTGCTGGAAGCGGTGCCTCGACTCAGCGGCGTATGAGTGCCACATGGCGGCCTCGCGCTGGCTGCCGCACCTGCTCGCTCTCGTGGAGGACGGCTCACAGACGGTGGCGGAGATGACGGCACCGCTACAGCAGTTCGTCGAGAGCAGTCCGCTCGGAGAGTTCCCCGCGCGCCTGCAGATGCTGCTCTCCGTCCATCGGCAGATGGTATGCGACGGCGCAGCGGCAGCGGGCAAGCGCGGTGGTGGACCTCGTGAGCAACTGAGCGCCCTGCTATGGAATCTGTACCAGTACTATAGCCAGTTCTACCCGGTGGTCGAAAAACATCTGCGCGGGCTCCGCAAACCCATCGAGCAGAAGGTGAAGGACTTCGTCAAGATCGCGCGCTGGAACGATGTCAACTTCTGGTCGGTGAAGGACACCGTGAAGAAGTCCCATCGAATGGTTCACAAGCACGTGAAGGAGTTCCAGGCAGTCCTGGCGCAGCCGGTGTCAGCGGCGCTCCTCGACGTCGAGTCAATCGACGACGAGGCGCCATCAGACACTGTTGGCGCCTGGGATCGGGAGCAGGCGGCACCGCCGGCCGTCACCGTCACGCCGGAGCTGTACATCGCTCGCGGTCGGGTGGCGCCCGTAGACAGTCCGTACCCGGCCGAGCAGCGTCTGACGCGGCTGCGCCAGCTGTACCTGCGCAGTCGGCGCCTGTGTCGCTCGCTCTACACCCAGTCACCGCTGATGGAGGATATCGCCGCGCTGAACGACGTGACAAGCTGTGTGTGCCAGACGGCCGACAAGCTGAGCCGACTGAATGTAGACGGTGTGACGGACAAAGAACGAAGAAAGAAGCAGATCGGCTTCCAGCGGCAGCGCAAGCGGCAGGCGGTGGTGGAGCTGTACCGAACGCTCAATCGGCTCGGCGTGTCTTACCGACGCGGCCTTATCACGTGGGAGCAGGAGAGCGCCGATTTCCGGCTGCTGCTGACCCCGCCGGTGGACGTCACCGGCGGAGACGGCCGGCTCAGCGCCGCCTGGCGAGGCTGCCTCAAGTACGAGTGTCGCGCTGTGTCACGGCTGGCTCTGCTGCGGCGCGCGCTGCTGCAGCCGCACCGCGAGCTCGGCCCGCAGAACCTGGAGCGTATACGCGGTGTCAGCGCCGACCTGATGACACAGGTTTGCGCGGCACGCCAGGCGCTCTCGGAGCTGGAGGGCGCCGTCAGTCGGCTCTCTGCGCTGCTGCAGGAGGTAAGCGGTCTTAGCTGCCAGCCGCAGCCGGACGCTCATGCGGCTGCCCAGCGCCGCTACAGGCGCACCGAAGCCCATCTGCTAGCTGTCAGCGAGCTCTACCTTCAGCTGCTGCCGCGACTGCGACTTTACCTGCTGGCCGCGCCGGATGGCCAGCCGACGGTAGCGGCCGGCTCTCTGCGTCTCAGCGCTGGTGCAGAGTCGGACCTCCGGGGCCGAGGCCGCGCGGCGCCCGAGCACGGCCGTCTGCTGGGTCAGCTTGATGTGGCGCTGGCGGCCAGCCGGGCGGCGCGTGGCCGTCTGCGACGCGCCGGCGCCAGACGCTGGAACTCGCCTCTGCTCTGGACCCGCGACGATGTCAGTCGTCTAGAGGAGGCGCGCGCTGAGCTGGGACAGGCAGCAGGAGTGATGACCGAGCTGCGGAGCGCGCTTGGTGGAACAGAGGCAGATCCGGTGGTGACCGCTCTACGTAGCGCCGAGCAGAAACTGTCTGAGCCGGACAGCCTGCAATCGATAGAGGATTCCTCTGACGACGGTGGCGAAGCGGCGGAGCAGCGGCTGGTGGCTGCCGCCCGGCGTCTCTCCGGTCAGGTGCTGCTCGCCGTGCAGCGGCTGTACCGCACGCAGGAGGAGCGGCAACAGCAGGAGCAGCCGGAAGAGGCTGAGGACGCCCAGGTGGGTCTGTTCTCCGAGCGCGTCCAGCGCCGGCTGCTGGCTGCCAACGAGCAGCTGGACGCCGGCCGCGTGGTACGCACCCTCACATCGCTGGTCGCCCGTCTGACGGAGGCGCCACTCGATCGCGAGCGCAGTGGTCGCGTCATCACGCTCCTGTCACAGCTGGTGCCGCTGCTGAACCAGTATCAACACCTCTGCACCTTCGTCCTGGTACACCAGATGACCGCTTACCGTGCTTCAGCCAAGCTGCTCTCTGTTTTGCTCAAGCTGTTCACTGTGATGGCCCAGAAGGGTTTCTGCACACCCGAAGATATGCAGGACGAGGGGGAGGATTCAGAGGCTGGCACCGAGTTCAAAGAGCTGGAAGACGGCGGCCTGGGCGAGGGTCAGGGAGCCAAAGACGTGTCCGAAAAGCTTGAGTCCGAGGATCAACTGGAGGGTGCGTACAAGCCCGGTGAGGAGCCGGAGCCGGCCGATGACGACGTCAAAGAAGAGGAGAACGGCGTGGAGATGTCCGACGACTTCTCCGGTCGGATGCAGGACGTGGAGCGGAAAGAAGGTGACGACGACAAGGACGAGAGCGACGACGAGGACGAAGAAGAACCAGACAAACAGATGGGAGAGGTGGACGGTGAGGACCAGGAACGGCTCGACGAGAAGCTGTGGGGCAGCGATGACGAGGATGACGACCAGCCGACTCCCGAGGACGATGAGCCGCAGGACGGCGGCCACGGGCGTGAAGACGCGCAGCTCGCTGCTAAGGAGGACGACGGTCCAGAGGAGCGGGACGACAGCAAGAAGGAGCAACGTCAGCGACAAGACATGAAGGAGAACGAAATGGAGGAAGACGAAGACCAACAGGCGGACCCGTATCACAACAACTTTGCTCCAGAAGCGGAACCTGAAGAGCTCGACATCCCCGAACGGGAAGGTGCTGACTCGGAGCGCGGGTCAGAGTCCGACACTGACGGGGAAGAGCCTGAGGAAAACCCTTGGGACATCGAACAGAAGGCGGACTTTCCGGATGAGGGAGAGGACAAGGAGCAGGACGCAGAGCAGGAGCAGGACTCGGGCGAGCAGCAGCCTGAGCCGACCAACGCGCCCGAGGAGGCCTCCGAAGACGAAAACGACAAAGCGGATGAGGAAGGCGAAGAGAAGAAAGGGACGTCAGACGAACGTGCAGACGGAGATGAACCTGAGCCTGACGAGCAGGAGACGGCCGAGCGCGAGGAACAAGAGGCATCTCAGCTGGACGCTAGTGAGCAGGCTGGTGAAGCGGCGCAGGAAGAGGCGGCGCGTGGTACGCAGGACCGGTTGCAGCAGCCGCAGCAGGTGGCCGCCGAAGATCGGCCTGAGGAGCAGAGCGCCAGCGCTGAGCGCACCGACGAGAAGGCCGCTGTCGGCATGGCCGAGAGCAGCGAGAGCGGTCACCAGGCGGCCGACGCGGCGCAGCTGAGCCGGCCCGAGCCCAGTCGGCGCGAGAAGCAGGAACGCGCTCAGCAGCGTCGACCCGGGCAGTCCGACAGCAAGCGTAGCCTGGGCACGGACAACCAGCCCGTTGAGAAGCGACTCAAGACCGTGGACGCGGACTCCACCGAAGATGCCGCAGCTGAAGAGGAGAAGGGCGAGCGCGGTGAGAAGCCGAAGCAGTCCGACCTCTACCAGCACATCCAGGACGCGGAAAAGGAGGACGCACTGGCCGCCGACGCCGCCACGCGGGAGCAGGCGCTTGAACGGCCGGTTCCAGCAGATGCCGACGAAGACGCGCCGGAGCCGGAAGAGGACGTCCAAATGCAGGAGGATGAGGAAGGTGAAAAGGACCAGGACGCTGAACAGCCGGGGAAACTGCAGCCGATCCGTCCGGAAAAGCTTACTGATCGTCAGAGTGGCGGTCGTCCTAAGAACGAGGAGGGTGACGAAGAGTCGGCTGGCGGCCCGGAGCGTGGGGAGGTGGACGGTGAGGCAGTTCTTACCGCCTCAGCGCAGCGGCCAGTAGAGAACTCGGCGCACACGGTGCTGGACCAGCTGGACGAGGACGAGTCAGCCGCTGAGCCGCCGCCGCCCGACCTGGAGCAGCTGCGTCGTGATCTTGAGAGTCGGCTCGACCTCTGGGAACGTGCCGACGACGACAGCGCTGAGGCCGAGGCAGAGGCCGAGCGCGCGTGGCAGCAGTACGAGACGGTGATTGGTCCGCTGGCACAGGAGCTCTGCGAGCAGCTGCGGCTCATCCTGGAGCCCACGCAAACGGCCAAGCTGATGGGCGACTACCGCACTGGCAAGAGACTCAACATGCGCAAGGTGATCCCGTATATCGCCTCGCAGTTCCGTAAGGACAAGATCTGGCTGCGGCGTACCAAGCCGTCGAAGCGCGACTACCAGGTTGCGATCGCCGTCGATGACTCGTCCTCGATGTCGGACAGCCAGTCACGCCAGCTGGCGTTCGAGGCGCTGGCGCTGGTGAGCCGTGCGCTGGCGCTGCTGGAGGTGGGGCAGCTGGCCGTGCTCAGTTTCGGCGAGAGCACGCGCCTCTTGCATGGGCTTCACGAGCCGCTCGGCGCCGCTGCTGGCGCGCAGCTGCTGCGTCGCTTCACGTTCGCGCAGTCGCAGACGCGCGTGGCAGCCATGCTAGATAGCGTGACGGCGCTGCTAAGTGGGGGAGGCGGCCGGCGTGCTGCCCGCCTCCTGCTGGTGGTCTCCGACGGACGCGGCCTGTTCCACGAAGGCCAGGAGACTGTTCGGCGGGCGGTGCGTCGCGCCCGCCTGGCCGGCATCTTCCTGGTGCTGCTGATCGTCGACAGTCCGGACAGCAACAGCAGCGTGCTGGACATCCGGATGCCTCGTTTCGGCTCAGACGGACGGCTGCTGGGCATCCGGCCCTACCTGGACAGCTTTCCGTTCCCGTTCTACGTGATCCTGCGCGACATCGGTGCGCTGCCCGCCGTGCTTTCGGACGCGCTGCGACAGTGGTTCGAGCTAGTTACCGCTGCGGATCGGTAGCGGCTGTGGATCGGGTGGACTTCAGGGACAGGCTACGGGTGGCGTTGGGGCTTCCCGTTGTGTATCTGCTGTGAATAGGTATAAAGCGACAGGGCATCAGAAAATGTGTCATCGTTTGATAACTGTTGTTGGAGTTGTGGCAAGGGAGCGGTTATTTTGTGGCTGTTGCATAGTTGGAGTTGTGCAGGTCTTATGCTATGCCTACGCGGTATGTTTTCGAGTATGACGAACGCGATGCTGGGTAATAAATACCAAGTGGTGTGCAGATGCTTGATTGGAAATGAAGCGTGACATTTGGGATGGGGACATTGCGGATTGATTCACACCTCTGTTGAACATTCCATTCACGGTAAATCTGACATTTAGATGTTTAAAAAACCATTAGCGTGCAGAGCGATTGTGTTGGTGGATCAAGATATTGATATATCGACTAAAATATAATGAACCATTGCCGACACCAAGAGTACCTACCTACACTATCACTGACACCAAAATGTGCGGTTGCCGTCGCCGAGCGAATCTGCGGGTCGTTCATGCGTTGTCGTCCGCCGTCCGGGAGACGAGACATCGAACGCTGGGTTAGCTTATGAGGGAGAAATGATCAGAGTAAGACCATATTAAGATATCGAGGAGGATGAGAAAAACAAGGAAAAATCCGAAAATCCGTTCGAGGACCATAAACTTTTGGCCTGCCGTAGGGAGCTTCTTGAGCGGACGTTGTGGTTTGTGCCTGGCGCGGAAATTGCCCCAAATAAAGACTGCAGCAGTTATATATGGCCTTGGCAGTAGTTTAGTAGGGAATGCATTTAAGTATCAAATAATGCGCATTTGCGACGAAATGCGCTGCCGTAATTTTGCGGCTCCGGTGGTGTTGGTGTTGGATGTTTGTGAATTGATTTTTGATTTTTGGCTGGAGAGTACTTAGTAATCTTCTGTTGCCCTGTATATCATGGTGAGTAATGCGTTCACAAGAAATTTCGGTCCTAGTAAAATAAGTTAAGTCAATTTCCGAGCACTTTCAAGGTGCAGGTCAATTGATGGGGTAACCGGTGAACTGAAACGTTTCAAATTCAAATTTCAATCGAAGGTTAAAGATCATATTTTCGGGCAAAGTATGCTAAAAATTAAATGTCAAAATTTGTTAATATATCCTGTAGCGTCCACTCACTTGCAAAATGTTTATGCATCAAGTAGGTACATTTGCCAGGAACAGAACTTACTGATAATGGGTGTTCGCAAGGGTGTTCGTATTGTATATTTCTCATGGGCTCAGATTTATATTATGCTTTTTTACCATTTTGTCCACATTACCATTAATTGATATAGATATCAATCACACAATATGATTCTGTGATGTATGTTTGAAGTGTCAAATGCTTCAGTGCATGGTTTTTAGGCCATTAACAGGCATATTGATCTAGCAAGTATCAACAACATTTTCATTTTTCAAGACAATTGTAATGCTATTTTCTCACTTATAGCTAAGTAGTATTTTTCCCATGTGAGATTATTTCCATCATGAGAAAGCTTTTATGCTTTTCCCCTTGGTCTTGCCTGTGTGCATCTCACAATGATTCGTTCTGGCCTCTGGGACCACTGATAAACATGACACTCTTGCACGTGTATCCTATATTTTGTATATATCTTGTGTACCTATATCTTGAACCAGTTTTAATTTTATTTCAGATGGATATCAGACCAAACCAGACAATCTACATTAACAACCTGAATGAGAAGGTTAAAAAGCCAGGTAAGAATCTAAAGCTGTTATATTCTGGGTAAAATCTTGCTTCAATAATCAGTAAATGTGGAAATTAATTCAAAGTCACGGGTAGATAAAAGTCAAAGGTAATCTAACCTGACTCCAATAATCTGTATTGATCAATTTGCATTAGGTGAACTCATCATTTCAAAGGTCTTGATTAAGGAAGGCATCTGTCCTACTATGATAAGGTAGGTATATCCAGGCATCGGTAAAATCCTTTTTGAAAGGATTGCATTCCCAATCCACATTCCTAGTGCCGAAGTGGATTGCATTCCTACCCGCAATCCCCTTTTTTCACTTGGATTGTGATCAAATCCGCAATCCTTTTTTGCAATCCTGTTGTATTATTATGTGCACTAGTGGATCTGGGGGAGGGAGGGGGGCATAGGGCCGTGCCTCCATCCCAAGGCTATATAACCAGGTAGAACGCTCCGGGAAAAAAGTTGGAAACAATAAATTAGTTGCAGCATTCCCTGATGACGCGAATGTGGGTCAGCGGCCGGCGGCCGGCGGCCGCTAACACTGTATGAGGATGAGTGCACGGAACTTTTGCTTGTTGGATATTGCGCTAGGCAGTTAAATGTTAATGTTAGGATATGTTTCGAAAGTAAATTGAACGACGCTTCGAACGCCGTCGATGAATTTGCGATGCGACGCGTATTTGTTTAGTTAGAGCCGGCGAACTTTTACCTTCCGACCGCGCGCGGCGCGGGGAGGCGATATGGTGCCACACTGACAGTTTTTAAGATAGCTCAAAATTCTTTTAAGCTAAAGAGCTGAAATTTGACTCGTCCAATCTTTTGATCAAGCTGGATCTTCTGGTACAGGTCGCATATTTAAGGTACGTCAGGTTGTTGACCTATGTTGTCGCTCGTGAGCCTCTGCACAGTCCAAAAACAATGCAATTTCTGAACACTCAGTGCCAAGAAATCCTTCACACAAAGATGACACTTGGCAGAAAGAAGAGCTGTCGGTTTCTTATCGTTCGTATGTGTCGTGTTTTCACAAGAGTTGAGTAAGGTCAGGTCCGTCACGTGACCTCCCCTCATAACTCAATAGGTTTACTTTCATAGAAGCGTTTATCAATCGCCGGAAATCTTAGTCAATCCCACTGGACACTGGATCCATACCCTTACCCACATAGGGCCCTCCTGACTGGCCACTCCCTCTGAAATTCACAATAACATTGGGCTGCGGCCACGGTTATGTATTAATGCTTTTCACTGACAGAAATACAACAACTTCAACCACCACAGTGCACGCCGCCACAACAGTCCGACCCACGTCCCTGATATCGACTAGCACCCGGCCGGATGCACATGGCGGAGCCAATCAGTCCGAATGTGACATGAAGCTTACAATTGCTGTGTCGCATGGCGCACGGCACAGGACGATTCCTAGCAGCTGTCGGCTGAAGTGGAGAAACAGCACGTTGCGGCACACCGCGCCGGCGACAGAGCTCAGCAGGGCTGGTTTGAGGCTAAAGCCGGAGGTAAGGGCGGACACAGGCACATACATTGCAGGACAAATAACAGGATGTCGGGATATAATTCAAGACGAATGATTCAAGACGGACTGAAATAATGCACATTCTGCTCACTTAGATACCAACTTCAAACTTGACATTTATAACACCACGGAAACAATTGGCACACAGGAAAGAAACAAAAGATGAGGTGTTTTTAACTCAAGGAGGTAAAAAGAGGTTGCATATGATGGAACAGCCCGAAGTGCAGACAAGCACATATTTTTGGTAATAGCTATCAGCTGTCCTACTTCTCTTCTCCCTTCACCAACTACTGGACACATTTGAAGCATCATATTAGCACCAATGTCCATATTAGCACAAAATATTAGCATATTAGCATCATATTAGCACAAAAGCTTGCAAGTAGTTTTATGAAGCCAAGGGAAATATGCCTACATCATGCATGTAAGCTCAAAATGCATTATAAAGGAAGGTTATCTAAAGAGAATAGTGGGCAAAAGCATTTCATAGTTAAATTATTCAAAACTGCACACAGGGCAAACATAAAAAGCAGCAAGTGTAGTGTTCTGTTATGCTTAAAAATAGTCCAAAACAAAATACAATCTTTTTTTATCGTGTAGTGCTTTTGCAAGGAGCATTGATAATACTATGAATTAACTTTGAAGCGACCTTCTCCTTGATATTATGTCAAAAATGAAAGAATTATTTACATGTGCATTCGGGCACAGCCCATCATCAGATGTATATTTGAAAAGACTTTTCAAATATACATCTTTTCAAATATACATCTGATGATGGGCTGTGCCCGAATGCACATGTAAATAATTCTTTCATTTTTGACATAATATCAAGGAGAAGGTCGCTTCAAAGTTAATTCATAGTACAATCTTTTTTTGTTTGAATTGGTTGTTCTTCTATGCCACTTCATCCATATCTTGATTACAGATGGGCTGTTACTGTAGGTTGATGAAGTGACACTTGATTGCCTTTGTGCGAGTTTCAGTTGCAGCCTCCTAGGTACTGCACTGGAAAGCAGATTGAATTGAATGCCTCTGAAAGATAGGAATATAGGCAAAGTTAGCTGTAGTAGTGTCAATGATAATAGACATGACATTTTTGCCTTTTGACATACATTTGTTGAAGTACAAAAAGGTACAAAATAAATTGGTTTGTTTCAAGACACGCACACTGCACAAAGCCGCACAGATATTACACAAGCATATGAAATTGGTACACATAAAACTTGATGATTAACCCTCGCATGTGTGCGGCGTTTGCCAGCTTCTAATGTGTAGGGGGGGGGGGTCGGTTGGACCCCCCCCCTTGCCGTTTGGCCCCTGATCGAGCTAGAGCTTCGCGGAAAAAACGAGCGTGTTGCCCGTGACGAGAGGAAGCCGATGATACCCAATTTTAAGGTCCTAGGTCATTGGTTGACCTTCCAGGTCAGGTCAATGACCCAAAGTCGGGAAAATCGGGACCTGTTAGAAAGTCGTAAAGTGTGGCTGCTAAGGGGTTTTTCGGGGTGCTGATCACGAATATCGTGTTAGTTTTGATCACAGATGATGTCTTGAAGCATTTAGACCAGGTCGGGTCAGGTCAGGTCAGGTCAACCAGTAGGCGTCGTGACGGGTATTCGTAGTACGTGTCAACCGCCTCTGACAGCTTCGTAACATGTTACGAAGTCACCAAACCTACTTCGTAAATGTTCAAATGGTTGCTAAATTCGAATTCAGCTCCAAAAACTAGCCTAGAAACATGTAAAACTCGAAAAAGTGACCCGAGGTCACCCGAGGTCACCAAAGGTCAATGACCTGACCTGACCTTCAGGTGACCTTGACACACACGGGAGTAACATCAAATCACATGTTTGAACGTTTGAAACCACGAAAAGCTTGCAAACACGCGGCTAGTGCGAGCCGACATACGCGAAATCGCGATTCCGGCCAAACATGGTCTCGGAAAAGAGGTCACAGGTCAAAGGTCATTTGGGTCAGGGTCATGAAATTTTCAGGGTAGGTGTCAAATTGATCAATGCGAGGGTACTGACAGTTTCGTCGCGATCGGTCGCTTTTTACGCGAGTTATTCGCGAAAAACCATGGGGGGGGGGTCCATCCGACCCCCCCCCTACACATGCGAGGGTTAAAAAGGTCAAAACTAGCAACAATAATTAATTGAAGTAAAAGTTACAATCACAATCATTTGATTTAAAATGACTTGACAAAGTCACAAGACGCAACGCTCCTATTCACTTAAGAAAAGTTTTATGCTTTCATTATCCTCCACATATCAACCAGCTTGATACCAGGCTGTGCAATAGTGGGTACATAACCCCATGTTTCCATTTTCTTAGAGCAAGTGGGGCTACAACAACAATGCTAATGTCAAACCCACATCTGCAACCCGTACTGAAGTTTCAATCACCTTACAAGAACACCTTCTGGCAGTTTGATGGGCAGAATGGTCATAACTACTTTCTCCTCATATTCAACACAAATTATCTCTTATACAGATACAGTTTAGACTTGGTTATGGCAAGCATTTTCGAGAAAAGATATGATAAAAGTCCAAGACAAAGGTCGAGAGAAACAACACCAACATATAACACCGACTATGTAGCACTAATACTATCAAATTCATAAAAATATATACATGAGTCGATCAGAAATTCACTGTAGATTTCGAAAATGGTGTCAAATGCCACTCAAATACCCCCATTCGCATGTACGAAGCAATATAACACTGACCTTCAGTTCCGCGTGCCATTCTCCATAGGCCACTGTGTATTAAATAACGCGTTCACTGATCGCAAAAAAATGAGACCCACATATGACGCGTTTGCTACCAGCCAATCAGAGCTCGAGATGCCGAGCGCTGATTGGTGGAGGGGGCCGTCGTCAGCAGTCCATTACATGTTGTTTTCCTTGAACATATACGTGAGCAGCTGATGCTGCTCACGGGTTGTTTCCATTTTTCGTAATGCTGAAGGCACGGGAGCGAACCCCCCTGCTCCATCCCCAAATCATCCATTTCTAGTACCTAGTCTTGCGAGTAATTCCTATCTAAGGCACAGGTATTTTATGGGAAATATTTTTTGCCTCAAACACCCCCACATTTAAAGCTCTACCCAACCAGTGTTTTATATTTTTAAAACTCGCCCTCAAATACGTAATTTTGCCCTTTCTATGTAGTTCATCAGCGTATATTATTTTGAGCGTTTAAATTATTTCAAGTTTCGATGTAAAGCCCTTGATGGCAAAGTACGTTAAGCCGATGAAGCCGATTTCATAATTTTCAATCGCAACAAACCATTTCAGAGCACTAATCAAACACAATCCGGATTGGATTGCAAAAGTTGGAAGTATGATGCAATCCAATCCGCAATCAAATCCTGTTTTTTGGAATGGATTTCAAATCCAGGTGCAATCCACCAAAAGGGAATGCAATCAGGATTTTGCAATCCTGCAATCGCAATCCTACCGATGCCTGGGTATATCCATATTTAGTCATGACATGACCTTTATAATTCATTATTCCACAGACATGTAAAATAATTAAGTACATAAGCATGCAATTACTTCATGTTTTTCTTAAATAGGTCATATTTTAGCAGGTATGATGGGTGCACAAGCTATCTTTAGCTCTAGTTGGTCAGTGTCCTAAAATTTGTCAAGTTGGGTGAGAAACAACATCCAATTGAAAATGATTTTCCACTCTCACCTCCAATTTTCAAGACCAATTTTCCACTCCCAATTTACCCAGAAAGAGCAGGTTTTGTGGATGGCTATTTTGCATCCTCTATCCACCACAATAGTGGATAAATTAATATTTTTGATCCTAGCCCACTCTTTTTGGACCTTATCTGACCAACAATTTGTTCACTCTCATCCCCTTTTAGGTCAGCAATTTTCCCCTCTGACTTCGAAGCAAAAATATAATTTTGAAACACTAAGTGTTTTTATGGTATTTTATTATTATTATTATTATGATAATTATATATTAAATATGGTATTTTTGTTGACTGCTTTTGGCCTGAATTTCAGAACTGAAGGAGTCTCTGTACGGTCTGTTCTCCCAGTTTGGACCTATCCTTGATGTTGTGGCCCTGAAGACACCAAAGATGCGTGGCCAGGCTTTCATTGTATTCAAGGAGATTGGTGCAGCCACCAATGCTCTCAGATCGATGCAGGGCTTCCCCTTCTATGACAAACAAATGGTGAGTAAGCTGATTGATATGAAGAAGTCTCAGCAGTGACATTGTATCCAATTAGTAAAATAGGTGGATTTTCTGTATAAAACAGATAATTTAGTTGTTGTAAATCAGTATAATCGTGCAACAGGTACTGATGCATGCATCTTTTTCTTTATTCAGATTTAGAGTGGTGAAATAGTAACAAGTTCTTGTACCATTATTGCACAGTGAAGCAAATAGTGTTCACAAGTGGCCAATAATGCTCAAAAGTCAAGTTTACCAAACCGAGTAAATCACGGTATGGCCAACCACTAACCAGAGAAATGTTTGGGGCAATTCTGAAATCACATGGTTTTCATGTTTTGTTAAAGCTGGCCTCTTGTAAAATTGCCAGAAATTAGGACATTTTTTATGTCGCAAAATGGCTATCATGTGCTTGCAATTTCAAATGCTGCTAGCTATTAACTGTTTATTTCACACAAACGGCGAAAACTATGCGTAAAAATGATCTCCAAAGCGTGCTGCTTCTCATGCTGGGTCACAAAAAGCCTTACCTCTTCTGGTTTGGCGGTGATTTGACTATTTGTCATTATGTTGCAGTTACAGTATTTTTACTAAAAACTAAAAAGTACCTGCTATCGTTTGCCCTGCAGCAGTGTACACAGTGTGCCCGTTGGTGCACCATACCTCAGTCTTCCCTGATCATTGCTGAACCCCAACGTGAAAGAATTAAGGTGCTAGCACGGGGCTGACCGGCGCAACATAAGTTTTTGTCCAGCGTGATCGGGTGTCGCGATGTTCAGGCGGGCGGACGGGTGCGGCGACGCCCGGCGCGGGGGCCGGGCAGGCGAGGTAAAAAATTGACCTAAATATGCTCAATCGTGAGATCTCGTCAAGAGCAATCTCCTGGTTTTTGTCGCGAGGCGCTAGGACGTTTCGTTTAGGAACAGCAGGGCATGCACCAACGAACCCACGCTGTGGCCAAGCCGCCCGCCCGCCCACCGCGGCACCCGACCGCACCGGACGAAATTTTTAGTAGCGTCGGTCAGTGCTGTGCTAGTGCCTAAATTCTTTTACGCTGCGGCTCAGAAATTATCAGGGAAAGCTGAGGTGTGGTCATGGTGGACTAACGGGCACACACTGCGTAGACTGCTGTAGGTCCAACGAAAGCAAATATTTTTCAGTAAAAAACTGTGCTTGCAACATGATGACAAATAGCTGAATTACCGCCAAATGAAAAGAGATATGGCTTTCTGTGACCCGGCAGCGAGTTACCTAAGTGTGGAACTACAAGTCGATTCTAGGGCTCTGATTGGTGACTTTGGTCGGGGGATGACGCTTATAGCATGACGTCACTCGCGTACTTGGCCGGACCAACGGCGCGGCGCAGGCGCGTCGAGCCAACCCAGAGGCTCTCAAACTCAATTGTACAGATCCTGCGCATTGAATGGCGAAACTTCGGCGAGTTCGCTTGAGTTTGGAAGCCCCTGCCAGAGAACTGGAGACGGCCGGATTATTTGCTGGACAGTGGGCAGCGCAGATGGCGATTGACGGTGCCAAAAAGATGATAGGGAAAACGGGGTTGAGACTTGAGCAGTGAATTATAAGTCTGTTGCATAGCTGAGTGGTAAATTGTAAAATACTTAAGGTTTGAAGAGATGCAGTGTAGTTTAGCCGACTCAGGAGCATTCTGCCGAGTTATGTAAGGCGGAAGGGTCGCAACTCGCAAGTCGTTTGTTTACATGATTGCCTGATTAAAATGTAAAGCGTACCTAATGTTTAGTTGATAATACAGCGAGGTTGGGCATCTGCTCAATCCATTTCTTCTCTGCAATAGTGCATTCGCCACTGTAATTCATTGTAAGAGGCACTGGGCTGCGCCGCCTGTTAATTATTCCGAAACCACCAGTGAATTGTCACAGTCACTCACAACAATACGAATCGTTCAGTCGTGCGCTGGGGGTCCACCAAGTTTGAGTGTGCTGCAGAATGCAGACTGGACCGCCGAGAATATAACACTTTCGTCTCCCTGGGCGAGCGGCGCATTGGAGCCGAAGGAAACTGCAATTCAGTTTTTTTGTGGGGAAGATACCCATGTTTGAAAATTATGTTCTGGAATGATGCGATAAGGAAAAGGACGGTTTCTTGAATTGAGGGCTGTGGAGAAGAAGCAGATTTTCTCATTTGCTACCCGATACAACGCGAAAAGACGCAAATGTTGCACATTGGGCTTAATAAGTCTAATAAAAGATAAGGGACTTCGTGAATCATGCCTAACTGACCGCGACCCAGTTATTTGCCACTGCAGGTAGGTACTAGGTAGGTAGATACTCATTTGTAAACAGAGCGTTCCACCAACCCTCGCCAGAAATTCAATCAGCAGTTGCTTATCTTAAAACGTTTGAGTGCACCTAACAACCTTTAAAAATGACGTCCTCCCTTTCAATGGTTCGTTCGAAGACACAAAGCCAGAATCAGCCAAGCAATATCGGAATCCATTGCGCAGTGTGTCGACTGTCGGATGTGCCCATCCACATAGCATAGCACACACTGCTAAATGCAGGTACGCTCACCTACACATAACGTATTCGAAGGACTTGATAGCTCATACACATGGAAGAAACGCATGAAATGTGATTAATAGCTGCAGCAGAAGTTTGGCGTCCGATGCCTCTTCGCCAAGTTAAGACCATGCCAATCTCGGCCAGTCTGCCGCCGCGCCGGCACTGGCCGTGGTGTGACGTCATCCGGCCGGCTCGGCGCTGGGTAGTTCCACACTTAGGTAACTCGCGACCCGGCATTAGAAGCAGCAGGCTCTGAGGATCATTTCATATAAAAAAGCAGTTCGGATGAAATGGATGCACGCTAGCGGCGTTTGAATTTGCAAGTACGTGACAGTCATTTACGACATAGAAAACGTCACTTCTGACAACTCTACACGGGGCCGGTTTTGACATAAACATGAAAATATTTTTTTTTTCAGACACCCCAAACACTTCCCTGAGTGGCCATATTACGATTTATTCGATTACGCCAAGCTGATTTTTGGGTCATTTGGGCATTATTGGCCACTCGTGAACCCCATTTGCATTACTGTGCATTGTTTTTGTCCATACTGCTGTTTTCTGATCCAGCAGTCTCCTGTCTCCCCCAACAGCGCCTGCAGTACGGCAAGTCCGAGTCAGATGCCGTCTCCAAGATGAAGGGCACCTTCCGCCAGGAGGGTGGCAAGCGCAAGGACCCGTCCGCGCCCAAGAAGGCCAAAAAGGCCAAGACGAGCGCTACCGCGGCGGCAGCGACCGCCAAACCTTCAGAGGACGGGGACGGCGCCGACGAGGCGGCCGACCTGCCGCCCAACCAGATCCTCTTCCTCACCAGCCTGCCCGAGGAGACCAACGAGATGATGCTGCAGATGCTCTTCAACCAGTGAGTGACGCCGACCCGACCGGGATCGGGGACAGAGGGGGCTGGGAGGGGTGGGGGCAGAGATGTGGGGGGGGGGGGGCGATGGTATGTTTTGCATGTAATGCTACAGACCGTTAACTATGGTACCTATAAAATATTCAATTTTTAAGTATTTAGTGCAGTCAGTCAGAGACAGCACTCAGCATTTCTGAGTCAGTCATGGGTCTAGGTGGAGGGGGAAGGGGGGGGGGGGGGGTGACGGAACGGACAGTGCTGGTGCAAGCTGTTCGCTGGGATTTGATGTTTTAGGTGTCATAATTTACTTTCAAGCTCGTGATCACGATGAATGACCTGTAGAGTGTTTATGAGTTTGAAGTGTCGCTGCATAATGCTCAACTGAAGATTGTGACTAACGTTCTGTCTATTTGCCGTGCCGTGTCTGTTTAGCATCAGTCGTGTTGTGTATCAAGCAACAGCCCATTGTGTATCGAGCAACGGCCCATTGTGCTAACGTTTCCAAACGTTCCACCCTTAACCGATTCCCATTTAACCGTCGCCGTCTCTCCCCCCAGGTTCCCCGGTTTCAAGGAGGTGCGTCTGATCCCGGGCCGACACGACATTGCCTTCGTCGAGTTCGACACGGACGCACAGTCTGCCGCGGCCCGCTCCGCCCTGCAGGGATTCAAAATCACACCAACACACGCAATGCGCATATCGTTCGCAAAGAAGTGACGTGCCACCGGCCGGCTAGGTGGTTGAGCTGTGTGAGAGCTCGGGCGGAGGCCTGGAGTTCAGATGTCAACGTTAGGACTCATGAGCGTGATTTGATGTGAAACGGTAAGATTCCTCACCGCTCTTTCGAAGTCAGGGGCTGCGTGTTATCAGAGAAGTCCGACCTCACATCAACAGGGGGTGTCTTCATCGGAAGGCTGAACCGAGTGGTCATACAGGACAGGTGTGTGCGTAGGCGAGACGTCCCAGGGAGGATGGTTGGTGCTTGAATATGTGCTGACTGAAAAGAAGCTCCACTGCATGCCATTCAGTTGGATGGAGAACGCGGTACTTCTTGCTACAAGGGCACGATTCTCACGTACAATGTTAAACGCATTCATTGGCAATTTTGTGTATTGCCACAAACCATGTCATCTTTGTAATAAATAATAAATAACATCAGCATTTCACAATCATTGTCATGTCATATGACGTGGCCCCTTTTGCCACGTCAAGGAATAACGCGATAAAACGAGTCAGGTACAGAACATGGATGTGTTCACTAAAACACAAACAGCTAATGATGAAACGCCAGTTATACGAAACCTGACTAATTTCGGAGCATGTCTTTTTCCAGTGTCATGTTAAAAGTATCTCAAGTTACCTAGATCGTTGTCCCGGGCGGGTGCAATTGCAATGTCACACAACAGTCAGCAGGCAACAAATGTTTTCCACTACGCTTCACTGGCTCAGTTTGACGGTCGCAGTCCGGAGCACTTGGACATCGGCAGACACTTCAGTCAAACGCTCCTTCCAACCAAGCACCCTGTCAGTGTCTTGTTCATAGAAGACAAAGGTAAAGGAAAACCTAAGAAGCGCCCTGGATTAGCAGACGGCAAGGCTGGCAAATGGCTTGATGGCAAACTAGTAGATCAATCGTCGATCAACGGTAGATCGTCCGAAGTCTGGCTATTCGCTCAATCGGTTACGTCTGCTGAAGGGTTAGCTGTATTGATGGCTGCTGAAGGTTTCCCTTCTAATTCCTCGTCCCCGGTCATGACGTCTTCAGCAGTTCTCCCGTCTCACCCAAAGCGTGACGTCTGCTGGAAGAGTCCTCCCAGCTCGGGAAGGACGTCCCCGGAGCTGAGGCCGGCCGCCTGCGCCAGACTGATGCCGGCAGAGGCGCTCACCGCGCCGCACACGTAGGTGAAGCACACGGGGTCGAAGATGCCGCCACAGGCCGGCTGGTTACAGTAGCTGCCGAGAGATGGCGCGAACATCGGTCAGACGGAGAGAAGGGTTAGTGTGGCGGAGTGAGAGCGATGCCGGAACTTTTCTTTTACTTCATCATGACGCTCGGCTTAAAAGTGAACGCGAATTGGCTACGATGATATCGTAACAATACGAGGATCCAACAAAAAATACGTTAGCGAACACGTTTTCTCACCTGCCAGAGAGGCACTCTCGGTCTTCGAGGCAGGTGCCGCCGGGCTTTTTGGCCGGGAAGCAGCGCTGCTGACCGTCTCCCAGTCCCGTCGTGGTGCAGTAGGTGTTCAGTGGACAGTCCTGCGGCCCCGAACAAACTGCGGAGGGAAGCCTTAGGTCAACAAAATGCAATCGAAATCGTTCATTTGATGCAGTTGGATGGTTCATGTGCGTTGGGCAACGGAACGGAAACCGTATCAGTTGAAATGCCTCGCAAAGTGACAAGTTAGAAGCAAAATATTGTGAGTATCAAGGTGTTTTTAACCGCCACGCAATGTTCGAATCGTTTTTGAAACGAAACGATTCTTTAATGTAAAAAAAGGTTTTATTCTGCAACTGATCTTGTAGCCTTTTTTATCAAACGTGATTCAGAAGCCCGGTAGGCCCGACGATTGCAATACAGGCATGCGTGCTCACTCTTCTGTCGTCCCGGTGCTGACGTGTACGATGCCAAGACGAGTTATGCACACGTGGGGACTGGCCGAAACGGGTCCTTTCAAGCGACTTATCGTGTTGACCACTTTAATATTCGGCGAAAATGAGAGTCAATGTCCAGTCAAGTTTGTTTCATCCACGCATTACAGAAGACAGGCCGTCGGCTTGCATTGTTTCCGTTCAACTCTCGGCAAAAATATTATGCACACGTGCCTTCTGCCGGATTGCACTGAATGTCCTTGACAGACGATATGTTGCAACACCACCCCCTCCCCCACTTCCCTTACCACACAGGGGTGCGAGGATCAGACGTATCCGATACGACTGGGGAGCGACCGCTGCTGGTTCCTGTCAAGTGCAAGCCGTGAAGTATTGCGGGTAGCCCATCCCGTGCCGCTCAGTCACCGCGCGCCGCTGGTCGTCGGGGAACGTTGACCTCAGCCGGTGGGGTCAGCTGGCGGCACTGTCCCCCTCTCCTCCCCCTGCCCGGTCCCACGACCGGCCGGGCACGGCTCGAGCCGGCGGCTGATCGGTCAGAATCTGCCGCCGCGCCGACCGGTTCGGCGCGGATTATCCGTCAGCAGGAGCTCCGAGCTCCGAGAGCGGCGACATTCCCGCGGTCGGCAGTGACGCGCCTGGTCACTGCCCCCGTCAGGTCGGGTCGGGTCGCCGGATGGGCGCACTGACGCCGTGAGCTGGCAGATTTCAGGGAGGGAGAAACCTGCCGGGCTGGTCTCACTATCCGACCGCACAGCGAGAAATCTGCACAGCGCTGACAGACAATGTGTCAGGAGATCATCTCGCCCCGCCCATTACTAATAAGCACGATGAGAGAAAAGAAAATTTATCCGGCACCCCTAGCAATTCATTCCGAGTTGTTTGGAGTGAAAAACAAGGGTGTCAAAGCGAGCGATGCTTACGGTAAAAGTGTGGCTTCGGAGTCAAAAGAGTGGTGAAAAAGTGATGTTTGTTTAACGAGTTAAAAATAATCTGGTAATTTTTAAACATTACAACAGCAGAGGTCCAGCTGCGAGCTCGGTCGCTGATACCGTCGACTGTGGATTGAGAGGACACGAGATCGATTCCCGGAGCTGTCCGCATTGAAGTCGGCGCTGGCCCGCCTGGGCTAACCAGTTGTGGCGAAGGCGGGCCGTCGATGTATCCCCGGGCCCACCCCATCTCCACCTTGGAGAAGGGGGTAGCATCAGCCTCAGCCTGCATATCCCAGCTACCTATGTATACCTCCCGTCCCGTTCCCCCATACACAAGTCACAACCCAACCTAGCCGTTGCGTGATGCGTCACTTCTAATCGGGATGAATAAACATTGAAATACCCTCCACATTAGTGGCGATATCGGGAGAACAGACGGGCTGTCGCCGATGGTACTCACCCTGGAACTTTCCGACGAGGTCGGTGCAGGCCTTGCAGCTGGCGCTGCGTCGTGTCCGTGCGGCTCCGGGAGTCAGCTGGGCGATCAGTACCAGAGACGTCATCAGCAGAGACAGGGGGACGCCGCACCGGGCCATCTGTGGGACCGCGCAGGGGGGGGGGGGGTCAGAGCGGCGGGGCAGCTATATAACATAATGCACACATGCATACACATCAACACACCAAGCATGACCGTATACCTGGGACAAATAACATCATGTATAGGCCCGTATATCGATTACCGATAGCATGTCCCGCTTTAGCCATATACCGGGATAAATTACTTGTCCCGCCTGACCACTTAGCAATACCGATAACATGTCCGTTTAACCGCATACCTCAAATAATAACATACTTTTGACCGTATACCTTGTAGAGAGAATGAATCCCGAGAATCGTATACCAGGGATGGGACCAATAGCATACCCCGTATAACCGTATACCAGGGACAGATGTGGAGTAGACTGCATCGTGATTCGTGATTGAACAGTTGCTCTCAGCCATTACGAATGTGACAGTAGAAAGAGGCTGTAATTGTGAGTGAGGTGGTTATCAAATATAAGTGCTCTTTAACTACCACCTACTTTTTGCTGTATTGACCAAGTTCATTGTCACTTTTGTACCTACATCTGACAGGATATTGTGAACGTCACTGTCGTTGATTTATGCACGGCACTATTGTTAGACGTCCCGAATCACTCGTAATAACTACCTGGCATAAAGCTCGTTTGCCAAAAAGACATGCATAGCAAATGCCGATGAGATGTCATATCCTAAAGCTCTGAGCCAGCTATCAGGTTTTTTTTATCGAACATAATGCAAATTAGTAGCAAGGACGATTCATTGAGTCTTCCATACACGTGACATGTATTGAATAACTAAACAGGGCCATGGCTGGCACACCCGGTCCGGTCACCTTTTCTGCACATTTTAATTGATCGTTGCATGCCAGACAGCTCATTAACATCAGTGTCGAATGTTTCCCTGCATACAGAAAATGCTATTCGGCACGAACGTCAGACGCCCGAGGGGATTAGTTCTGCATTCTCTGCGCGCGTTTAGACAGTCCCATAGCTGACCCCGCCCGGCGGTTCCCGGTTTCGGGACACGACATGACACCAAACTCGGCAAGATCAATGGCACCGCGGCGGGGAGTTCAAAAACAGCTGAATGAATGGCATGCGAGATGAAATTACCAACCGGGCGGGACCGGACCGGACGTCGAAACGACGAGACACCGATAAACAAACTCACCGGGACAACAACCAGCGTCGGCACCGCACAACTGCCCAAGATCACCACTGCACACGAGCACTGCGCCTGTCAAACTGGCGCATCTGCGACGGCGGCGACGCGGACGTGGCTGCACTGACCCACAGACGACGTTCGAGAGAGAGTGACCGCGCCAGGTGAGACGGGTCCCAGACCGACGGCGAACCGGACCACAATTAGGACGGCGGATAAAGCACACGATCCTACCCCGGCCGACGACAGATTCTGCGCTGCTCTGAAAATGTTTCGCAATGAAGCTGGTTTTTGGACAGATTCGAGAGATTCACACGGAGTGGAGATGTCTGCATTGTTATGATTGATTGGACAATAGGGTTGAATTTAAAAGTTGAGAATGGGAGATATCCGGTTGGTTTAGTGCGTGGCATACTGGTTAGAAGATACGCATTGACGACAGGGTTGGTATTTCTTGATGCTTTCGCCAAGCATTAGCATTATCATTGGATGGTGCCTTATTTCATAATTAAAACTCGTAACATTCCAACTCAACTCACACAACAGAGGCAGTAAAGAAGGCTTAAACATTAAAACGTTCGCCAATCGCCTTACACACAGGCCTCAACTGACAACTAACGCAAACCAGCGATGAGCAATGATTTTCTGCGGTGTGTTGTTCGTGCGTTCACCCCAAACTCATGCTCGATGGTTGAACGACCGGTACTTTTTGCTGGCAAGAAACTTAAGTGGCTAGTAGCGGTACTGGTGGCTCAAAAGATTAGTATCACTAGCACAAACTTCGCTGAAACGTATGTTAACCCTTCCTACTTGGGATCGCAGAGATGACATAATATGCCTACCACGGTAGCAGGCTCAGCACCTGTGACCTGTGAAGTACTCTTTCCATGGAGTTCAGAGCTCATGGTAACACTCTGAGCCCGTCAGTTGACCAGTGAGTCGGCTCGGCGGAGGTGCCTGAGCAGTGACGGCTGTGTGAGTCGTAGTGCACGCACAGAGGGCGACTGAGATCAGAGAGAAACACCGCAGCAGTATGAGGTCAACGCTCGGGGTACTACTCGTTCTGGTGAGCCTCATTAGCCATAATATCGAATTTGTTATTTGTAGACGATAGCAATTGGAAAACAATACGTTGGCTCCATGCTGGAGATGAAAGTCCCGAGTCGGTAGTAAGCATCATTGCGATTTGCAACTCCCCAGTCCAACCAATGAAATTGACACTGCGGCATAACTGGAATTTCAAACAGGCTTGAAATGTATAGGACCCAATTGTAGAGCTCTTCTCTGACCCCCAGGTGGGTCACGTGGCCGGTCACGGTCGTCTGATGGACCCTCCGGCCCGGAACGCCATGTGGAGGTTCAACTTCAGCAATCCGGTCAACTACAATGACAACGAGCTCTTCTGCGGAGGATTTGTCGGTAAACAGACTGACAGACGGTCTGCTATCAGAAGCTTTCTTATGAAGGATTCCGTTGAATGATAATCAAATAAGTCAAAGCATCCGTAGACGGCTAGCGCTCGTATATTGGTGCTAAATAATCGGATATGATGCTATTGTTCCGTATGCCAGCCCTGCTGCTATAAAATAATGGTCGATGTGACTTGACTATATTTGAGGTCTAGCTCACGAGTCATAAGTTACAGTGCATTAACAGTAGGTACCCCCAGTAAATGAATTTCACGCAGTTTTGTAGTGGGCAACACTAACGTTTCCCGCATGGTGTCTCAGTGCATCACCAGCAGAACGGCGGCAAATGTGGCCCGTGTGGCGACAATTACGTAATAAAGGTGCCGCGTCCTCACGAGGCCGGCGGGGAGTTCGCGCAGGGCATCATCGGCAAACGGTACACCTCAGGACAGGTGAGAAAAGTCAACACTACGCTCCGCATCGTGGTAGTGTTCTGTGTTTAGACGCAGTCTCCTATTCGCGTTACCGTTGTATTTCGCTCCCAGGTCTTCATTTGGTGAGGTGTTAGGTACTTTGTATGCGCTGCTGCAGTCTCCCATTTGCTCGGTGTTATTGTTGTATGCAATGCTGCAGTCATCAGCTTCGATTGGTGCTACTGTTGTATGAGTCAATGCAGTGTCTCAGCCGTGTGATGTGATGCTACTATCTTCTGTTTATTCGTTCTGTCTCCAGAACGAATGGTGCTACTGTCTTGTGTGTGCATGCAGTCTCCAGAACGAATGGTAGTACTGTCTTGTGTGTGAATGCAGTCTCCAGAACGAATGGTGCTACTGTCTTGTGTGTGAATGCAGTCTCCAAGATGAGTGGTGCGGTTACTGTCTTGTGTGTGAATGCAGTCTCCGAGATGAGTGGTGCGGTTAGTGTCTTATGTGTGAATGCAGTCTCCCAAAGCAGTGAGTCAATGCAGTCTCCAGCTCCTAGTGGTGCCTTATTGCTGTTAGTTGATGTAGTCTCCAATACATTTGCTTATTGCCTGATGCTGATGCGGGTTTTGCTGCAGTCTATGACACTTGTGAGTTGTGGGACTTCTGTTATTTAAGTCAATGCATTTCCTTGCAGGCACGGTGCTTATTTAATGTCTTCCCCTCCTGTCTTCACCCCCTTGATTTGCCATACGATGCCATCTCATCAATTCCGAGCCAATACCTAATTTTTAATTGTGCGTGCTGCAGAAGTGCTTGCTCCATGGCACACGGCTTTTTAATGTCCTATTACACCAGCGTCCCTTTCGTTTATGGCTGGAAATTATGTTTTCTCTAATTGTTTTATTCATATATTTGCCTGGTTTTTATTAGTGACATTTATTCTCAGTTGGTGGAGGTCGAGGTGGAGCTCACCGCCAACCACCGAGGAAAGTTTGTAATTCGCCTGTGTCCCCACAACAACGACAAGACCATAGTCACACAGGAGTGCTTCAATCGGTGAGAACGACGACGTTTGCGCTGGACGGTAGTAATATCGGTAGGTATAATAAACAGCTCGTCACAACAAAGCAATCCAAATATGGATAATGGAGTTGGGATAGAAATATCTCGTAACTTTCGAGAAAGCATATTCCGGCTTGAATTATTGATTCAGATGGGAAATGCATATTACATATAGTTGATTATTTATTTATCAAATTATCAATACATTTTCCACAACGCTCGGAATGTTTTCAAGTTCCGACACTAATCCATGATCTGTCAGCTGTCGCTCAAAACAGCAAACAATACATGAGATAGCGTTATGCGAGCGCAGATTTCCTGTTTCGCCAGATACCCGTTGATGGTGGCCGGCACCCACTCGCACGAGTACAGTCTCCAGGACGGCTCTGGCAAGGCGGGCATCTTCCGCTGGAAGGTGGAGCTGCCGCCCTACCTGACGTGCACCCAGTGCGTCATGCAGTGGACCTACTACGCCGGAAACACGTGGGGCACGTGCTCGGACGGCGAGCAGGCGGTCGGCTGCGGGCCGCAGGAGACGTTCATCAACTGCGCCGACATCGCCATCGTCTCCAACACGCCCTACTTCGGACCCGTCCACAACAGGTCAGCTCAACAGCCGCACCGAGGTTTGACGTTACGTCGGGGTTAAACATGCCAAAGATAAATTCCTTGATTCAGAATTCAGGGCATTGCAATAAGAGTTCAGATGCTCACCGATATGGTTTGCCAAAGTTGTCTCTTGCTTGAAACCGACAATGTAACCTTTTATTAATCAAAGCCATACACGAAGAGATGCACCTACAGGCTACATAAATCCAAATGGCCCGCGCCCAGTATAACAGGCAATAAGTGTCTGAACCTCCCATTTTACCCCCTCAGTCTGTCGGACCTCTCCTACACGGGGGACGAAGTGCGTCATCTGATCTCCATGGAAACCGAGAAGCCACCGGCGCCGGCACCGTTCCGTGCCCAGGTGTGCGTCCCCCAGCCCGTGTTCCGGAACGTTCCCGGCGCAGATGAAATCTGCCTAGGGTGTATGAGGAGGCCAAACAGCTGTCCAGCGCATCTCTGTGTCTGCATGTAAGTATGGTTTGAAAGGGGAGAGGGAAGATCAGATAGGCGATGACATAAAATGTTATTGAAGTTCGGTAAATGAGTAAAGGTAGCAAATGGAAATTGGAAGTCAATGCTCTCGTTCACTCAAAGCTTCTGCTAAGATGTTCAGTTTTCTTTTGGGAAATAAATCATGCGGCAGGATGTTGTCCTTATACCTAATAAAAAGGAAAAGCTTAGCTTGCCAGATTTCTCCACATTAATGAATAATCTCATCGACGTCGTCATAAATCATAGCGTTAGCCGACGCAGCGCCAACACAATGTCACTCTAAACTCTCACTTCTGTCCGTTTCAGCTCCAAGTGCGAGGCGGTTGGGAAGTTGGCCGAGAAGCCAGAAGCCCATCTGTTCTGTCACCAGAACTGTCTCGGCTACCCGAGCCACTGCCCGCAGGACAAGTGTCGCTGCTTCTGACGGGACGGCGAGGGCGACACAGCAACACGCAGGGGAGAAGGTGTCGCTGAGAAGTGCTGACGGTGCACGGTATGACGGAAGATACCAAGAAACGGGCATCTAACTTACTATTCAAACAGAATCCGTCTGTCTGTCTGTGAGTTTGTGTGTCCGCACATCGTGTAGTGGGTTCAATTTGTTACGCCTACACGGCAGACGGTACGGCGTAGGGGGTTGAAATTTACACACCTTCAAGGTGACAGAGCGGGTCAGCGCCTTTTCTAGGTTTCGACTCGCTGGGGTGCACGGTTCGCGCGTGGCGCGCGCTCGAAGAAAGCCAATGAAATTGTGATCGGTTCGTAGATCTTCATTGAGAGCCGGGGTCGACAAACTTTGTGAACTAAATGCATGCCGATCGGCGACGGGTGCCTCGCATTGGCGGATGGGCAGGCTTTTAATTTGAATGAAAAGTGGCGAGAGAATGTGTTGATTTTCATTCAATGGGAACAGTAGATGATGCAAGTGTAAAAATGCACCGCGTTTGCCGCAAGGCGTCACATTGGTCACAGGGCGTCATCTTTGCCGCAAATCGCACAGTTTTGTCAAATATGGTCCGATATTGGTGCAATTTGGTGCAAAGATGCATGCTCAACCAACAGGTTCAGATGCGCTGCGTTTGCCGGAATGCGCAACAATCATCTCAGGGCGTCATTTTTGCCGCAAATCGCACAGTTTTGACAAATATGGTCCGATATGGGTGCACTTTGGTGCAAAGATGCATGCTCAATCACCGGGTGAAAATGCACCGCGTTTGCCGTAACACGCCACATTTGTCACAAAGCGCCATTTCCGACAAAATCGATTAAAGGTAATGGAATGGCACGAACAGGAGCGGGGCTAGAAGATCTTTTAAATTCTGTTTTTTTTTTTAAACATTTATTGGATCCAATTAGTATGTGACCTGACATGGCCCAGTGGTAGGTAGTGGTAGTGGTAGGGATAGTGGTAGTGGTAGGAGGTAGGGGTAGGGGTAGGGGTAGTGGTAGGGGTAGGGGTAGGGGTAGTGGTAGGAGTAGTAGTAGGGGTAGGGGTAGTGGTAGGAGTAGGGGTAGGGGTAGGGGTAGTAGTAGTGGTAGGGGTAGTAGTAGGGGTAGTAGTAGGGGTAGTAGTAAGGGTAGTAGTAGGGGTAGTGGTAGGGGTAGTGGTAGGGGTAGGAGTATGGGTAGTAGTAATGGTAGGGGTAGGGGTAGTGGTAGTGGTAGATGCAATGGTAGGGGTATGGGTAGGGGTACGGGTAGTGTTGGGGGCAGTGGTAGGGGTAGTGGTAGGGGAAGGGGTAGTGGTGGAGGCAAAAGTTGAACAGTGGCCCGGGCTGATCCCATCGGACGAGAGGTGACCTTTGTGACCTGGCCTGACCCAAAGTGGCCGGGGCTGACCCCTTTGACCCGTCTTGACCCCGTATCACCCAAATTTTATCCAACAACGCCCTCAGGACAGTTCTTTTTTAAATTCTTTTTCACATTTCCGTCCATATCTATGCTTCTAGACGACACATCGACATGAATCGAACACCATTCGAAAGCAAATTGGCTGGTGCCGCAATTTTTCCTACCACGCAGCAAAGCAAGTGGCGCAGCCGCTTGTCTATATTACTATTTGAGGAGGGCGTAGTTTCTGTCTATTACGAAGGTCGCGACATGGTGCTACGTAGCGCGGGTTACAGGTCACACCGTTGCACCCACCGCGCTGAAGTTTGCGCAACTCATAGAACAAGGATGGACAACGTGCCTTTGATGGGTCTCAGCTCGATCGAATCGATAGCGAGCGCGTGGCGCGTGCCCAAAAAGTGCAAATTCGCGTCATAGACTTTACATGTATTAATCGGCTGGCAAAAACGGGCGAAAACAGCCAAATTTGCCCGACACGGGTCCGTTCCCGGTGCAATATCTCGGTAACCGTGGGCCCGACCGGTACGGGGAAAACAGCATCGTGTAGAGAATCGAACGGGCTATCGAATGGTGTGCGGTGCAGGGGTTGGCACGCGCCACGTGCAAGTGTGAGGGCAATTTCATTTCAAAAAGTGCCATTTTAGACGTATTTTGGATTTTATTTTATTTTCCCGTGACCATCAGACTGAGAGAGTTGAAACAACGTCAATTGCCAAGAGAAATGTACCGCCTCTCATGGAAAAATTGTGGACAGCTAATTGATCAAAAACAATGTGGAAAAATCGCTGAATTAAAATGGTATTTGTCCACAATGTGCCACTAAAAAGATACACGGGATTTGCTGCTTAACCTGATACGCTTGACAATTGAAAATGCTATCATTAGAAAGAGCATTCAATTCTCTCCAAGATCCAATCATCACGTTTGCATGACAAGCAACAGTATTCTTAAAAATATAAATGTTTTAAACCTCTGCAAAACGATTTTTAGCGAAAATTATCTACGCCTTTCATTTGTCTTAAAACTACGCACCTCAATTATAAAGCACATTTGACAGATTCTGAAGTGGAAAGCATGCTTATCAGACACGGGCACCTCGATGCGGTGGATATTTTTTCCACAAACCAAAACGTTTAGCCGTCAAAAAGCAATCGACCGAAATGGATAGATAACCCCAACCGACACAAGAACAACCGAACACCCGCCGATCGAAAATATCCCTTTTCGCGTTGCGGAGCACGCGGGCCACCCTAGTTATTCACTATTCAGTGTTTTTGTATGACAACGGGTATTATCTGCATGTACTCAATAAAAAGTGATCTCATTCTTGGTTTTGGTGCTGAAATCGGGTGGCTTATGTGTTCTGAAAAAGCGGGAGCATACCTGCATGACTTAGGTAGGTAGGTAAGGTATAAAGGAATGATGGGAGTGAGAGTCCAAGAAGGACATCTAGCCAACATTCGCTGATAAAGCGATGATTTTCCGACAAGCGATAAGCGATGTTTTTCTGTAATTATCGCTGACGAAGCTCCAGGAGCGAAATATTCGATAATTTTAAATATAACCTTTTGGCTCCTATTTCTGATTATATTATGAGGTTACTGGTTTTTCTTATATTATGATAATTTTCCGTCGAAACAGAAAGCGAATAGGTATATAACACGCCTAAAACTTCAAAATTCCACGCAAATAGGTCTACTGTGATCACTTAACGTCACAGTTATACGTCACAGTTATATCATGCACACAGTTATACGCATAGGCACACAACCTAAAATATCACCACCTAGGTATACGAAAGGCTGCCGTGTTGACTGGTGGACGATAACCGGTTCGTGGGCTCCCGGTTCCACGCGCGGTCAATAACTGCACGCGGTCACAGCGCAGAAGGAAGCCGACAGTAGATCCCCGCACCTGCGCTAATCGCACGTCTGCGAACGACGCCGCTCGCCGGGCCGACCTCAGAAAGGTCAAAGAGCCTGTTTGGGACTTCAGTGTCCGGTGTCAAGTGCAGTGGCCGCCCCGGTCCCCCGCCCCGGCTCTGATGGGGCGGGCGGCCGGTTTTTGGGAGTGCGCCCGGCGGGAGGAGGGAGGCGTACAACCCCCGCCCCCCCCCCCCCGCTTGGCGTGGCGGCGGAGTCGCAGCGCCAGTCTCGGCTGAACCGTGCCGCGGGAGCTACTGTGCGGCCGCAGTCGGCGTGAGAACCTACCGTCGCCGACACACGCGCCAGAGAACGAGGAGCGGCCGAGACACCGACTGGCGCCATGATTCCCGTACTGCTACTCGTCTCCCTGGTAAGTGGCTGTTAAATTTTAACATGTTTCATAATTATACTAAATGGCTATAGAACACCACTTAACGCTCAGCGCCGACACTGTACTGTTTAGGTATGATGTCATATTGTTTGTGTACAATTTCATAGTACTTTACCATAAAATATTACATAGGCAGCTTCAGATTTGTTTCATGCTTATTTCAGCAGTCGGGGGACCGATGACCCCGGCAGAGATGTTAAGCGCGTTTCAAAAAAACTGAGTTCGGCATTTCGTCAAGTCATATGGGTAGTAAGCAGTTGTATTCTTATTTTCGTCCCTTCCTTTTTTATTGTGCTCCCTTTTTCAAATAGCGCTGCAGGTAACTGGTGGAAAAACAGGCTGGTCAACGACCATTGATCTATGGACCAAGATGCGCTAAGCACATTTTCGATGCAGCTTGCATCGGGTTGAACCCAGAGGTATTTTGAAATTCCATGCAATCTTGCTAGCCTTCACGCTCTTACGCTCATTACATCTACTCGTCCCTTAACCTTACGCACCAGGCACCTGTTTGATTTTTGTCTTTTGTTTGCAACGCAATAAATCCTAACCATTAGATCGTGAGTCTTGACCACATGAAATCCACTTATCAAAGCCATTGTATCAAAGCCAGCTTATAGGACTGCCATGAAGCGAATTTCCGTCTGAATGTACGGAGGCGAGCGCACGTACATACGTAACGGGTTGGGGACCTCATCAATATGCCGACTTTGGGACATACCAGAAACGACTAGGCCTCGGCACTGCCAGAGTCAGGGTCAACGACCGGCCCGGCTCGATAGTCTGCATGCAGTGAGCTCAAGTACTGGGGCTACAGCGGGCTGGACCGATGGAGCGGAGGAGCGGTCGCAATTGCGCATGTCTGCAGTCAACTGACCTAGTCACGCATTGACAATGGCACATCAAGTGCCAGCTTCAAAATCAAGGGCGTACAGCTCGAGCAATACAGACCTACATACTCCGCACTTACGGAGTCATGCCGACAAGACCACATACACGTGCCTACAAGCTTATATCCCAGTACGACCTTCTCAGCTATTTCTCGTCTTCTCGGTACCGGACCACCTTAAACGGAGCACCGTGGAGTCAAGAAACTGGCGCGATCCATTTGTAAAGGGCGGATTAACACAACCACAAGGAGAGTAAGATAACAGAAATAGATAAGCTCATAGGTGTTGATTCTGATTTCACTTGCGTGGAAATGACAGAACTCGGGAAGTAACCATTCCAGAAAATTAATATATCCTTCGGATCAGCAGATACCGTTTGGGATTTCGGCTAAAAATGCTACTGACCGAGAAAGTCAACTCTGTGAAGTGTCCACCAATGGTCGCCTCACTGCGGAGCCCCTACACCCCCTGACAAAACTTGATATCTGTCTGACCCCCAGGTAGGTCACGTGGCCGGTCACGGTCGTCTGATGGACCCTCCGGCCCGGAACGCCATGTGGAGGTTCAACTTCAGCAACCCGGTCAACTACAACGACAACGAGCTCTTCTGCGGAGGATTCGTTGGTGAGTGAAGTCCTAATAAAACCGAAATATAATCGGATGATGTCCATTACCTAGCCAGGTACAAATAAAGAAAATAAACATCGTTACAGATGACTAAGGATGTACTCCAATTTCCAAAGTCGGTTTTCATTTCCTACGCAAAGTAAATGGGCAGTTGCAGCAAACCACCGAATGCTAATATTACAGCTCCACTGAAAGTTCGACATGAAAGAAGAAACCCGCCCTTTCTCCGCTCTTTTCAGTGCAATATCAGCAGAACGACGGCAAGTGTGGCGTGTGCGGAGACAACTACGCGCTGGACGAGCCGCGACCGCACGAGGCGGGCGGCGAGTTCGCCAAGGGACTCATCGGAAAACGCTACTCGCCCGGTCAGGTCAGTTGCAAAACGTGTCCCGTCACAGTTCCCTTCATTCATGAGACACATAACATTGGCAGGTGAAGTAGCGGGGAAATTTTGGGAAGTTGGGATATTGAACTGCCATCTACAGCGTTTACTATTTTTGCATAATCTGTTGCGAACTCCTAACAGGGTCCTTGACAATGGCTTGAAAAAAAAAACGTCGGGAAATTCATGAATAATTCATTGCCACTATTCTGCATCCTCGGTTTAACACGAATGTTTCCAAAAATTGCAAACACTAGACGTGTCCCACGCGAAGAAAGCCCGGATTCGTTACAGGGAAGAACTAGGAATGAATGGTCACCTACCTGTCGACTATATATGTGACACATTTTTGCTTTGTCTTTTCCCATCGCCCGCTCAGTTGATCGACATTGAAGTGGAGCTGACCGCCAACCACATGGGCAACTTCGTGATCCGGCTGTGTCCGCACAACAACGACAGGAAGACAGTGACGCAGGAGTGCCTCAACAAGTGAGTAATTAACAACCACATCGATCGCTGAGTCTCCATGGACCTGTTGCCTGATAAACGACATATTCGATTCAAACATGGACAGTTACCGGCCATTGGAAGTTTGTTTAATTGATCCACAAAACCCGTAGGTATAAAATCGCGAACGGTGCTGGTTGACTTGCATCTATACTTCTTTCTCACTAAACCCCAGTGCATGAATCAATTAAGTGGAGGCACTCGCTCAACACCGACTGTTACCACTAGTCTGCGGTCCGTGAACATTCACCGTAGTATCCGCATATCCCGTCTCAGCGGCCCCGTCTCGGTAATCCGACGCCAGCCTAATCCGGTCGTTGCCTCTGACGATGGGTTGACTTCTTGGTCGGAAGGGAAGCAATGGTCGCTCACCGCTGTGAGAGGCCACTCGTCACATCAGTGGTGGTGTTGTATGGTAGATCTAATGTCATTAGCATAATAAAACGTCGTCTTAGGTGTATCCAACACGTTCCGAAATTGATAAGCATAATTTGTTTAGAATATTACAAATTGAAACATTCCCGAGATCAAGGTTTCCCTCTACTTCATATCAATACTTTGGTACTAGGGATGAGTCAGGGATGACCTCTGAACACTTATGTATAGGAGCCTTGCATTGTATAGTTCAAGATAAATATAAAGTACGCCTCAACCACGGCCGGGTGACGACTGACGGGTCATCGCTCCCCGTGAGGCGCTCAGATCCGTGGCCGCGCCGCCTCCTCCCATTGCAAGTCGGCAGAGTTGGACGACCTCCGCCGCCTCCCCGTCTCACCACTGAGGTGCACGTCACACTGTGGTACAAACTGGCCAGCTGGGACCGGTCGGCCACCCTCTCCCTTCCCACCCTCCCCTCCCGTCCACCCCCGCCCGATCAGCGGCGCCCCAACCCGTTACTTCGGTCATGGACAGCGGCGACCCGCGGATTCCGCCACATAGTCCGGCTTAAATATCGCCGATGGTAATCGCCTGGCTAAAGGGATGCCGCGTGCCCGCGGCTGCTGGTCGTCGGTAAACCTATGGCCGGAGTCAGAGATCAAATCACCAGAAACTCAGACATTTGGGACTGGTTTTCATGGGGAATATGGTCAAAACTACGGATCTGGTTGAGGAGAAAGCAGACAGGAGAACATGAGATAGGTAACAAATGCAAATTAAATTCACATTTTGTAAGTAACCGCCTAGCATGATAATTAATTGAAGCTTTGGGCGCCCGGGAATGTAAAGTTCAACGGCCCCAACAACCAATATCGGTTCGACCACCTCACTCATGCTGTTCAACTTTAAACCAGTGCCTGGCATTACAAGCTCCCGAGGATCGCAGTCGAAACAGCGATGGTTTAACAATACTGTCCGCTCCTCAGACACGTTTTGCGCGTGGCCGGCACCAACTCGATCCGCTACGTCATCCCGGAGGACTCTGGCAAGGCGGGCATCTTCCGCTGGAAGGTGGAGCTGCCGCCCTACCTGACGTGCACCCAGTGCGTCATGCAGTGGACCTACTACGCCGGAAACACGTGGGGCACGTGCTCGGACGGCGAGCAGGCGGTCGGCTGCGGGCCGCAGGAGACGTTCATCAACTGCGCCGACATCGCCATCGTCTCCAACACGCCCTACTTCGGACCCGTCCACAACAGGTCAGTGAGGTGTCAAACGGGGCCCAGCGCATGTGGTAGTGGCCTAGGACCGAGAAACGGCAAGGCAACATGGGTGCAGATACTATTACTAGCCAATAGGGGAGTAGCTCAGTAGCCTTGTGCAATCACCGCTCTATGAATATGCGGTTATATTGACACGCAGAGATTTATTATCGCCACACTGGTGATGGAAGTGGCGGCTAGGTGTCGACTTTAGACAATGCATACCATTATTGATATACGATAGATCACAGGAAACGTGTCTTACAGTACGAAATGTGCGTCGGAAATACGCATTCATCATGCTCGTCAAGCTGCGGCGAGAGCAGTGGCTCAACCACCTGTCTCTCAACAGCCTGGACTATATTGGACTATATGTATTCCACTCTGACCCCACCCCCTGTCACTTCGGCTGGACCGCACACTGCGACGCTGAACCTCTGGCAGCCCACCCCTGCCCCACTCTGACCCCTCGCGCGCCTCTCCAACAGTCTGGACCGCACGCTGCCCCTCACCAAGTCGGAGGTGGCTCGGGTGGTCCAGGAGGACCTAGACAACGAGCCCCGGGCGCCCGCCTTCCGGCCGCAGATCTGTCTGCCGCATGGAGAGTTTAAACAGGAGGAAGGCGCCGACCGGTTCTGCCTGCGCTGCATGGTTAACCCCGAGGCGTGCCCCACGGATAGGTGCATGTGTGTGTAAGTATCGGAGGGGCTCTGTGGGGAGGGTTATGAGTAGTTGCTTTGGTGAAGAGAAGTCGCCGTGTGTGCTGGTCTACGAAGAAAAGACCTATCATGAATCTTGGGAGGGAGTTTATCTTTCGGAGATGAGGGGCGAAATTTGTCTCCGAAAGAGGAGCATGCATGATACAACTATGAATTTGTTTGTGTGATTGACGATTTTCTCCCAGCAGTAATCCAGCAATGTCAATAAACGTTAAGGATAATTGCTAACCGCTTAGGCAAATCCCTGGACCCCAGGGCCCACACTGCCTCTACCAGCCGGTAATATTCACCAGGGACCGTTAACCAACTCACACTCGGCCATCTGCAGAGTGAGCTCCCAGGACTAACTCGTGTATTCCCATGTTCCAGTACGGAGTGCGAGGCACAGGGAGAGTTCGCCAAGAGGCCACAGGCTGACCTGTTCTGTCACGAGAACTGCCTCGGCTTCCCGAGCCACTGCCCGGAGGACAAGTGTCGCTGCTTCTGAGGGGACGGAAGACAACCCGAAGGACAAGCTCGCTTGCTCCTGATGAGCGACAATGGATGACATGAACGACAGACTGGTTGTTTGACGGCTGAGGCTGCTGAGACAAGGGCATTAGGATGGTGTATCCGCAATGGTGCGATTTAGTCCGGGCCACGCAGGCAGCACTGGGCCAGCCACAGTGGTGACACGACTGCTGGGCAGAAGCCCCTGCCACCGTTGTCATCGCCGGTGCGGTGTGGTTTGGGTAATTGGATGAGAAGCGCTGAATGTTGGCGAAGGGGCAAATGTAATGTGATCTACCCTCTACGGCGGTGTGATCTACCGTAGACTGATTTATAGTTCCATTTGATGACTTATAGTGTCGAATCTGTTTCGTCGAACTACTCATTTTGTCACTGCTACGGGATTCGGTGTGTCGATTTAGTTCCAATGGATTCATTTCGTGGAAAAAATGTTAAACCTGACTTTAAGGCCGTACACGCGAAGTTGATGTGTGTCTAGAATTTTAATCACGCAGAGTCGACACAATTCAACTTCTGAAATGTAGATTGAGCTTGTTGCATAATGCATACGCAATGTTCATGCTGGAAGTCTATGAATCGCAAATGTAAGACATGACAAATGCCTCATAAGAAAAAAGGTCGCAAAGTCATACGATTACGTAATAGGTAGGTAAAGGCACATTAACGCACATTCGCAGATTGCTTGGTTTCTTTCTTACTGAGCAAGTGCTATGGAAAAAAATCAAAAATAGCCATTATTCATCTCCATAAGTTCAGTTTGAGTAAGGCGTTATAATGCTTTCAACGGCCTTGATGATTTCCACGCTAAGCAGGAACTCACGCAACACCACCGTAACTCGACTACTTCCTACACACACGTTCAACTTTGGTCTCCTTGTATAACATCACATATAGTTTATCCACACATGTTCACGCCAGCTTAGGTGAAAGCACAACATGACTGAAAACCATGGAACAGCGATAAAATTATGGCACGTGATTCGACGGAATCATACAACACATAGCCACACAAAACACTGAGGCTGTCAGACACACCGCCCGCGGTAAACGACTAGATCGAGATAAACTCCACAAAATTATCACACAAAACAACTGAGATTAACAGCAAGTACGGCCCCTGGCGGCCAAAGTCCCGGCGATATACCGAGAGGCCGGCCAGGATTGCATACAGCGCCCGGCGCCCGTCACTGCCATCTGCCGGCGGCCGAGACAACTACAGGATCACAGGGAGACGAGCGCCACCCGGCCCGGTATTTGATACGAGATTGTGCGTTCGGGAACGGCGGTCCCGGCCCTGCCTTCATCACTCAGTCTTAGAAAACAGCCCTCCTCCCCATCAGGCCTTTGAGAGAAGCGGCCACCGAACAGAGGTAAGACGGCGGGGCCGCCTCAAACCGACCACCGGCTGTGCCCCCCCCCAAAAAAAAATTGTCCGAGTCCGTCTAAAACCGGCCGCCCATTTCCTTGAGAAGCCCGTCCCGATCACTGGAGAAGCAGCAGTTAGCTAAAACCACCCGTCCGCTGTGCCCAGCGCCATCTTCACGACGGCCGACGAGCTTACGAAAACGCGATCCCACAAACTAGCAACAACAAATATGCACCTGCATACGCGACTTCTCTGGATCTACATTATTACACTGGAAATAGACAAACACCCATACAACATTCGAGGTTTGACATTGCATTTAAATAAATATCTCCGTTAAAAACAACAGTCAGGGCCTTGAGTCAGGGGATGACTAGCACCGTCCCATTTGTCCCAGCACCGGCCAGTCTTTCTGAAGCGCTCGGTGGACTCGGGTCGCTGCCCGGGCGGGGAGCGGGAGAGAGCGGGGAGCGGGAGAGAGAGAGAGAGAGAGGGGAGAGAGGAACACTCACTGAGAGGAGGAGGCGCCGCCGACGGGCGCGGCCGACTCCGACCGTCACATGGTCCGGTACGGGCCCTGCATCTTGAGAAACTGAAACACACAGAGAGACGGAGTCGCGGTCAGACAGGTGGTATATACAGACAGAATGTCCCGGCACAGGAGAGGCGGTCACTGAATACAACATAAATACGGCCAGATGGGTCAGTTGGGGTACGCTACCTAAAAATCCAGCGACGCAGCTTGAAACAAGTTGACCCCACAAGTGAGCTGAAATAATAATTCCAAAAACGTTCATATTCTTTCATAGACTTTCACCTCTCAATCTTAAAACCTTTCGTAGCTTCTGCTATAGTAAAGTAATCTTGACTCCTGCCACCCTCATTTACACCGTTCTCCCCCTCACAGTTTCTACCCTCGACTCCCATCTCCCTCTCTAACCTGTATGACCAGACTGGGTCCGGCGGCGACAATCTCGGGCGGTATCAGCGTTAGCGGACAGTTCTCCAGGCTCAGCAGCTGCAGACTGGAGCAGAGCACCAGCTCGTACGGCAGTCCGTGCAGGCCCGGGTTGTCGTTAATGTAGAGAGACTCGAGCGACTCGAGGTTACCGATCTCCTCCACGATGTGCGATAGGTTGTTCTCGCCGGCGCTCAGGTAGGTGAGGTTCGATAGAAGACTGGTGGAATAAAGATCCGGACGTTGAATAGCGAGAGGACGCACAAATGACATGTATGTAGTTTGTCAGATGTCAATCTTGAGCATTCAAAAAAGTATGACTAAGTTTACGAACAACTATTACTTGCACACTTATCAGAAAATCAGCTACATCAAGCGTCATCTCTCATCACATGTCGTCTTTCCCATATTTACCCTCTTCTTTCGCTCCCACCCACTCACTCGATGGCTCTCGGTAGCATTGTGAGACAATTGTTCTGAACAACAGCACCCTTCCCTCCCCCACTCACCCTATAGCTCTGGGCAGCGCCGTGAGGCAGTTGCTCTGCAGTACCAGCCGCTGCAGCTCCCGCAGGTAGCCGATCTCACTGGGCAGAGTCTCCAGACGGTTCTCCTCCAGATCGAGCAGGCGCAGCTTACGGAGATTGCCCAGCGTCGGCGGCAGGCGCTGCGGGTCAGAGACACGGCAACTCAGCACCATAGCACTAACGAGGACAGTGGATCCAGCAGGCGCAGCTTACGGACATTGCCCAGTGTCGGCGGCAGGCGCTGGAGGAATGCCAAACACCGTGTCATTGCTTTTCCCGTAAAAAAAACTGACGAATTCCCTGATGGCACGCGAGCAGAAAGGAAGTCCCCAAGTATTATTAACTGTTTCACTATAAAAATAATAACTTGACAGCTTTTCTGAACGACGAGGCCTAACATATTCCTGAGCAGCGCCGACCGAGCCCCCATCCTCTGCTACCGTCCTCTGGCTCACCCTGAGTAGGTTATTGGAGAGGATGAGCACCTCGAGACTCTGCAGGTGCTGGATGTCGTCCGGCACCTTGGTCAGCTGGTTGGTGCCCAGGTTCAGCTCCACCATATGCTCCCACGTCCCGATGTCCATCGGCAGAGAGGTCAGCAGGTTGTCCTTCATGTTCAGCTTGGTCAGGTGACGCGCCCGCGAGAAGATGCCGTACGGGATCTTGTCGATCTGGTTGTGTTCCATGTTTATAGCGTCAACGTTCGTGAACTGGCGAACAAGTGGGCAGGAGACGCGGCATGTCACAACAGAGGTGAAGAGACACAGCGCGGATCACACGGTCAGGGACCGGCGGGGCACAAACACCAGCAGCAGCCAGCAACGCAGCCCGCGGTGCTCCTTAAAACCCAGCTCGCTACTTACGAGCGCACCAATAGCCGTCCCCATTGCCCAAGTTTTTTTCACAAGCAATCTTAACAAGTCCCTGCCAACTCCAAGCAACACCCCACTCTGTCTCCTAAACACGCTGAAAAACTAGCTCAAATATTCCCGACTCCCGCTCCGATGTCCCGGCTGCCCCGCCGCACCTGGGCCGGTCCGCCGACCGGGAAGCTGGTGAAGCAGTTCCTGGCGAGCGTGACGCTGGTCAGGCTGTTGAGCGCCGACAGCAGGCCGTCCGGCAGGCGCGCCACGCTGTTGCCCTCCATATTGTATTGCTCCATGTGCACACACTTGGCCAGCGAGCGAGGCAGCTCCGTCAGACGGTTGTACCTGGAAAAAGAAACGTAACAACACGGTCGGGAGATGTTAGATGCTTCCAAAGACAACCTCATTACGCCAAGGCCGACTAGGGTAGAAGGACTCAATCTTTTGGTGCAGTGTTAATGATAATCTTGGCATGAAAATGCGCTGATATGTAAGGATACAACTACACAAACAATACCCAAGCTCCACAGAAACCTAATAAGCATGAACACTACACATTACCTAGCCGTCCAATCACATCAACCACTGGAGCTACACACTCATTCCCTCCCCTCCCCCGCCGGTCACTCGACGGACCTGAGCTCGAGCCGGGTGAGTGCGCGGAGGTTTCCGATCGTCTCAGGAATGTCGATCAGCTCGTTGTGCTGCAGGTCCAGGGTAGACAGGCGCACGCAGTTGCCGATCGCCTCGGGCAGGTGCTCCAGGTGGTTGTGCGAGATGTCGAAGGTGACCAGCTTCACCAGCCGGCCCACGCCCGGCGTCAGCTCGCGAATCTTGTTCTCACGCAGACTGAGCATCGTGAGGTTCTACGGGGGAGGGGATGGGTGAGAGGTTAGACCCAGTAGCACGGGATCACATTCGACTCCAGTGATACACTGATCCAAGTTATGAGGGGAAAGACATAGAGGCAGACTGCAGAGCCACGCGGATCAGTCGGTGATTGATCCAGCTGGTAGCAACGGACACTTGTTCGAGGCAATACAACCAGAAAGAAGGCAAGACAGAGCATAAAAATGAAATTTTAATGCAAAATTAACCCTCGCCCGCACATGGGGGGGGGGGGGGGGTGGTTGCCACCCCCCCCCCCCAGGTAGTCTTTCTGCTCTGCACTCAACATTTTTAGAGCTAGAAGGCTGATTTTTCGTATAGCTGCTCCTCTATCCTTTCTTGATGTCCATTGAAAATTTCAAGTTTCTGTGATTTTTGGTTTCGGAGATATGACCTTGTTTTTCAGGTCATGTCATGACCCAAATGGCCAATTCTCAACATGGAATCATGGAACATGTTGTTCGACGATGTACAGGGGTCAAGGTCAGGGTCAAGGTCAACCTAGGTTATCTAAGATAATTGAGTTTTAGGCAAGCTGAATTTACTTTTTGTGAATTTTTTTTTACTGCATTTTTGGTAAAAGCTTCTCAGATCATGATTTCATGTAATATGGACCCAAAAACAATCCGTGCACACATCAGTATACACACAGACACACACAGACATACAAACACATATAATTGACCTTGACCTAACTTGACCTGAAATGACCTCAGCAGCAAAATTCTGGTCGGGTAGTGTGACAAAGAGGTTCTAGTTGGCTTGGCAACAGAAAACAGCATCGTCATCGGTATTTGATAAGCAGCGCACTTGATATCCAACGGTGACCCAAAACAGCAACATTTTTTAGTTTGACCTGACCTGGAAGGTCAATGACTGACCTGAGAAGGTAAAACTGGGTATCATTGGATTCGTCTCTTCCAAAAGAATCTTTTTGGTCTTTACCGCTAAGCTCTATCTCCAACAGGAACGAAATGGCGCGGGGGGGTGGCAACCACCCCCCCCCCCCCCATGTGCGTTCTAGGATGGGAAAATGGCATGTGCGGGCGAGGGTTAACGTCTTTAAAGTTGTCATATAAAATACGGATGCAACCGTTCTTTTTTGTGGAAACGTAGATGGTTCCGCCTTTGAACGTGCAACCGTCGTTCACAACCAGGTTGCCACGCAGAACGCAGCGCATCGACTTACCACAAGGTTTTGAATGTCATCGCCGACCACTTTTATCCTGTTGAACCTCAAAAACAGCGTAGTAAGATTTGTTAGCTTGTAAACAACATCGGGAATCTGAGAACACAAAAAGTAAACAAAATTAGCAAACAATCCTTTGTGCAAAGCTGTATATACCATTAACGACAATATACCCCCCACCCCACCCCATCTCCATGCACAAACCCCTCCCCCAGTGCCCATACCTCCCCAAGATCCCACTACCCCACCCAGTCTCCACAACCGGGCGCCGCCCCCTTCCCCCGAGTTACCCACCTCGCTGAGCTTGTTGTGCCTCAGGTCGAGCACCCGGAGTGAGGTGAGGTGCGCCAGCGCGTCCGGCAGCTGCGTCAGTGAGTTCTCGTTGAGTGCCAGCGTCTGCAGGCTGGTGAGACAGCCCAGCTCGGCGGGCACCGTGGTCAGCTTGTTGCCGTACAGGTACAGCTCGTGTAGGTCGGTGAGTTCGCGTACGGAGGCCGGCAGGTGGGCAATCTGACCACAGAGATGACGGAGTTACACTGGGGAGGGAGAGCAGGAAAGGGAGGACTGAGGGAGAGTAGGGTAGGGGCAGAAACCATAGGGAGAGCAAGGGAGCAGAGATGAGAACAGAGAGAATGGGAGGAGACCACCTGAGACGGAAGGGTGAGGATGGACAGACACATTCGGCGTCGATAATTCAGTGACTTGACAGGACCTAACAGATGAACAAAGAACTAAAACTGATCGTATAAAATCCCTCGTACTATAATCTACTGACACAGACGAATAACGAAATAAAACTAACCATGAGCTATCATCCATCATGCTAAAACAGATTCACCGCCAATACTTCAGCAAACTCAGCAGGAATGATACCTGAAAAACCATCCATCTGAGGAGTCACTCACGTTCGCCTTGCTGAGGTCGAGTCGATGCGCTCCCTCATCGCGACACCGGAGAAACTCTTTGGCCACGTCGAGGTCGGCCTGAATGGGCTTGTTTTTCTTGGTGGTCGGCTTGGGCTTGTTCTCGTCGACCTTGACGGTGACAGTCTTGGTGCGGCCGCCGTCTCCGACCATCAGCGAGGTCGAGGAGAGCTTCTTCTCCTTCAGCGCGCCGGCCATGTCGGGGGCGGCCGACATCGCTGACAGTCGGTCACCGTCCCCTGAGCCCTGTCAGTGGGAACAATATTACTTATGGCAGTAGCGGAGATATCGCTGACAGTTGGTTTTTTGTCCCCCAAGCCGTGTCCGTAGGAGTGGGTGACATTGCAGTGTGGTTTAAGGTTCATGCACATAAGTAACTAGATGAAATTTGATATGGAGAAACTGATTGACCAGGCATCAGTCAGTTCAAACAGGTACAGGTCATAAGTGCCACAAGAAGGTACATCTAGGAACAACCAGTTGGCTGTCAGCATTTCTACCATTTAAGTTTTAACATTTCACAAATGCAAACTTTTAGCTGGTTTAGACTAATTTGTACCCCAAGCTGGTTTGGCTTGTTGACTCTGTTGTAAAGTACCTTTCAGCCAGACTACATACATGACAACAGGGTTGATGAGAAGCACCACCTAAGGTAACAAAGCTTTATCTGTACCAAGGCTATATAATCTGTACCAACCAGGCTGAAAATCTGGACTGATCTGCACTGAAAGACTTTATTTTGCAACATAATTTATAAATCTGCACAATTGTTCTTCAAGGAAATGTCAATAGGTAAAGGGCAATTCTTCCCTCACTGGACCTGTTGTCTACAGTCAATAATTTTTCTGACACTGATGTGCCAGCTCAGTGGTTTACAGTAGCATTAGGGGGCTCCACCAAACCATGCTAAATCCCCACCTATAGGGCACCAACAGAGTGGCCCTGTGCCGACACGATCTTATCAAGATTGCCATACCTTACAGGTTGGCCTCACTACCTTGAGCTGGGGACCTTCTGCAGGAACCTCACCATCTGGAAGTTAGATATGCCCTCCCTTGCTCCCGACTTAGCAGCTCTCATGCAAGAAGCACATACAAAATGAAATATGAATTGCTTTCAGTTGAACTAGACCGACCCTAGACAGACTTCACATCTTCTCAAACTTCCAAAAACTGACTGACTTGAGGCAGAATTCAAATTGGGACTCCAAAATGACTCTGACAGCAGTCTTGACTACAGATACCTCACCTCCAGCCAGATATGCCAGTCTTTCAGTTTGTGCAGGCTCCTTGATAGCAGACCTGGTGGCATGCTTCATTGTACGGAAGTGGAAGGTCGCTAAAAATGATAAATGCCATCATTTTGTTCGTCCTGCAAGGAGACACGATTTTTACCTTATCCTTCCAAGCATCAAAAAAGAAAGTCACAGTCACTAACATAAACATCCTAATTCCTATAAACTGGTTGGTAGCTACATTTTATTTCAGGCTGAATCATTCAGAATGAAAATAACATCTTCATGAACCTAGCACCTACCTACCCTACCATATAGGGCCTTGCCCTACCATAACAAATTGAAATAGCATTCAGTGAGTTTGAGTTCAGTGACTCACGACTTGCTCACGACTGAAGGAACTGGTACAAAAGCTGCGCAGCAGACGATCACACGGCCTCCATATTATGCTGCAAAGGTTTTCCTTCACCACCTAGCATGATTGGTGGCGTATTTATAAATGATTTGTGTGGGTATTAGTAAAGTAATCTTGGGTGTGGGTTGGACTTGGGTTGGACCACTTCAATTCACATCAACACAGCAAGTGAAAAATCGAAGCATTACGGTGGCAACTATTAAAAAAAAAAAAAATTAGTCCGAACCTTTTGATAGGAAGGATTCACAAGGACAGAGCCACCGCCAAGCGAAGCTTGTTGCGGTGACTTGGCGGTGACCCCGCCCTCTAGCCTCAGTCGTGCAATTCCAGTTCTGTGGCAGAATTTAGGGTCCAAAGATCAAGTTTAACGTTCGCACATAGCCGCGCACGGCCCGTCCCCTCACTGACTTCGCCTGACAGCGGCCTGCCACCAACCGCAACCATACCTGTCAGGATCGGCCCATAAATGTCAAGCGCCCGTCGCGCTTCGAACCCGGACTGTTATAACCAGGAGCGCGTGATCTCACCACGCGAAGTCCAACGCTCTACCAACTGAGCTACGGGACCGGCTATACCTGATGTATTAAAACCATAAGAACAGCACACGTTTAATAAATAGCTGTGTATAATATAATGCCATCGTGCCTCATATAAAAAAACGACTGCTCTCATCCAATGTCGTGTTTCGAAATTAGCCCGAAAGCCCGCCCTTTTCATTCCCTGGGATGGATACACATCCACAGCGGTGGGTGGATGAGTCAGTCAACACCTCAAAGTAGCACAGTGTAACACAGCAAACAAAACAACCGTGCCATGCGTGAATCAGCCCGACAAAGGTCCAGCGGTCTGATTGGCCGTCGATCCGCCAATGAGCTCCCATGACTCGCCAGACGACCAATCACAGTCAAGGGAGGTTGTCAGCTAGATTTACAGCCGCCAACATGCGTTCAATCGACAGGGTCCGTCATCGACAAAGTTTCTCCACTAGCACGTAAGATTGCAACATAATTCAACATCTAAGCGGGCCCGAAATACTCAGAAACCGTTAGCGGCAAAGTGTTTAAACATTTCACGGTAGCAAGCATGTTCAGAGAACCGAAAACCTCGAGCGTTCAACATCTCACAACACGTCAGTGTCTGTGATTCCTTACTGTTGTGGCGTAGCAACGCACAACCCCCTTTTCATGTCCATATATGGTAAGTCATGTATGTTGCACAGTGCACACCCACACTACCACAGCAAACACTATCACCCCAGACCATCCCCTGTGCGTCGGTTGGCGTCCAGCTCAGTGCTCAGCGTCCAGCTCAGCTCAGGGTGACCCCCGTCACTGGTAGTAGAACCGGCCCGTCCCCTCCGCTCAGTGGCCGGCGGCCGCTGCGGTCAGTGGTTATCGCCGGCCGGCTGCGGTCAGTGGTTATCGCCGGCCGGCTGCGGTCGCTGCGCACCCCAGTCGAAGCCGCCCGGCCGCTCCTCGGGCGGCGGGGCGTACGCTGGGTCTCCGGCTGCCGGGTCGAATAGCCGCACACTGCAGCAGCAGCGCCGCACATCGAGAGTCAGCTCAGGGGGGCGCGAATTAGCCATACTCGGGGGAAGGTGGCGCGAATTAGCCATACTCGATGGAAGGGGGGGGGGGTGGGGGGGGGGGGTGAATAAGTCATACTCGGGGAAGGGGTAGGGGGCGTGAATAAGTCATACTCGGGGAAAGGGGTAGGGGGCGTGAATAAGTCATACTCGGGGAAGGGGTAGGGGCGTGAATTAGCCATATTCAGGGGGAAGGGGGGTTGAGTTGATCAGGCTCAACAATTTACGAGTTTTTACGAGCCAGCCTAAAATACGAAACATGAAGACACATGAAATAAACAAAGGTAGTTCATGTAAATATGAAGTTCGGTGGCATGTTAACTACACATGCAAGCCAGCCATCTGGCTATGGGCGGAATTCCAGAGACCACTGCAGCGCATTCATTTTGTGTGGCATACGCATTGCGCACCAAGTACGAACTCATTTACAATGCAAATGTACATATCACACATGACGACTACGAACCATTTCAACAAACTGAAATCGAACGCACATAATAAGGGAGTAAAATAAGCATTAGGAGCGCAAAGGTTTAGCAGCTGGATCACCACGGCGAGTGTGCTTATCCGCACGTAATGACATATGCTAAAAATGACATTATCAATTTACCCACCTAAACTGAGGAAAATTCTACATCTATGAAGCGGCGCAGCGAGACACCGACAGACACCTCCCCAAAACTGTTCGGTCCGCCCGCGGCTGGCGATACTCACATGCCGTGGGGCACTTTGAGCAGCCGGAAGCCGCCCGGCTGGTTGGGGAACACGTCCTCCAGGAAGAAGTAGGCGTGTCCGACTGCGATACCCATTAGGTCGACAGACACCGAGTTACCGAGCAGCAGTGAGAAGCCGAGCAGCACCCACGGCAGGTACGGCGCCTACAACGACAGGTGCGAGACGGGCTCAGATCAGAGATGTCAATCGGATACCAACTTTTTGGTACACTGATACCGAACTGATACCAACTTGGTATTTCCAGGCTAATGCATTTGGTATTTTGTTGGTATTATGAACCCGCACTAGCGTATAAGAGGTTGAAAAGGTTGGTACATCATTCATGTTCTCAAGTAGGTTTGGTTTTCGTATTCCCTCATGATTTTGGTTGGTATTTGGTTTTTCTGTAGTTGACATCACTAGCTCTGATCACTTCAAGCAATTCTTTTACCAGACCAAATATTCCATCGCCAACAGCGGGCTATGGCCCCGTGGTGTAACGGTTAGCACTCAGGACTCTGAATCCTGCGATCCGAGTTCAAATCTCGGCGAGACCTGCAGTTTTCCACTAATATGTCTCTGCAGATGAACAAACGACATGAAAACCTCCACACTTGCTTTGATGACCTTTCGTTTCGGGCCTGTCGCAATAGACATCAAATCTCGGTGGATATTGAAACATAGCCTGCTGTCACCTCGTCCTCTCACCTGGAAGTTCATCAGCCCGAAGAAGTTCATCCTGATGAACGGGTTCCTCCTGCTCCACACGTAGACCAGCATGATGGTGAAGGCCTGTCCGAGGAAGAGCATGTTGACCACCAGCGCGCACAGCACCATGCAGACGGCGCCGAACACGAACATGATGACAAAGTCGCCGGTGCGGCCTCGAAACGAGCCGTCCTCCAGGTAGCGGCAGTAGCGGTACGTGAAGATCAGGTTGAAGAGGAACGTGAAGCCCACCGGACCGAAGAACAGGAACGTCGTGACGAGTCGCCATACCTGCAAGGTGGGCAAACAGTACCGACATGGTCCAATTCCTGACACTGACATTTTGCATTCAGTGCACAGAATGACAAATAATAAGACTACTACTGACAAATAATGAGACTATCACTAGACTACTACTGCACTACTATAACTGACCGTTCTCTCATTTGACTATCAAACGATAAGAGTGAAATTTTCCACGGATGTTCTACAGACTACATATGAACAGCGCACAAGGAAACGTTCATCATCTACCGATTTAGTAGCTGCAGAGGCATGTAAACTTGCTTACCTGCCACTGTGAAACTATCAGATTTGGATTGAAGTACAGTTGAAATGGCGACACCAGATCTAATTGCTGTGAAAATGTAGGGATTGTAAGTGATGTGCCAACCAGTCATCCTGTTACAAAACACGTTTATCTGGATACATATCTATGTAAGCGGTGCACTTTTTAACGCGCTATCATAATTGAGCTTAAATTGAGATTTGTCTACCAAACGGCTTGAGGGTGGATGTGACGTCATGCATAGGCGGCGGAACGGGGAGGGCACCGGGGCACCGTGCCCCCCTTTGATTTTGGCATTTTAACATAAGCCCTATGGGCGTTGCATGGAAAGAATGGGACCAAAAGTCGGCAGTGCCCCCCTCCCCCCTTAATTGAAAGTGTTCAACCGCTACTGACGTCATGCACGACATGTCACGCAGATGTGACAATAACAAGGAGCGGAGATAATGCTGATATATTCTTTAACCTTCCAGGCGGTGGGGGGGGGGGGGTGCATTTTTTGCCCCCTCCCCTTTTGGTTTTTTCGATATATCTCTAGAACCGCTTCGCCGATCGTTACCAAACTTTCTGTACCCTCCCGTGAAAAGCTATTGCACATTGTGACAAAAAAAAAATCCAAAGGCTATGATAGGTTGGCCGCTAATGACGTCAGAGTGACGTCATTTCTGCCATTTTCGACCCAAAAAATGGTTTCGCGGGAAGAAATGTCAGGCCTACAACTTTAGAGATACAGAAAAATGTTTCAGACATGAACGGTGTAGAATTGACAGGGCTACAAAACTGCTATCTCGGATTTTTGAATTTTTTGGATTTTGCCCCCAAAAATAAAACAATTTTTTGAACATAATAGCCGAAAAATTCAAAAAGTTTTTTGAATTTCGAAAAACCGGAATATATATGATAGTCTCTACCGCTTTCTATCTACATACCAAATTTGAGATCGATACCTCTTTTTTGGCCAAGTTATAGCGAAAAAAACTGTTCAAAATTGATGTCAAATTTTCAAACTCAATTTTTAGCAATTCTAGACCTCGTAGCGTAAAACAAAGACCACCATTATACTCCCCGTGATGAGTTGCATCGAATCAATACCCATTTTATGGAAAACTATCAACTTAGAAATTTGACCTTTTTTGACCTGACCTTGATCTGACCTCCACCAGAAAGTGACCTAAACTGTACCTGATGGTCTTATAACCAACACCATTGAGTTGGAAATGAAAAATTGGCCATAAAACATGCATCGCATAACCTAAGTAAAGTTGGGTTTATGTGGTGACCCTTGGTGACCTGACCTGTGACCTCTAATAGCAACATATGTACTAGACAACTGACGCCCTATCGCTGATTTCCGACAAAATACGTTTTCCTCGGTGTTATAGCGCTTTCCCTAGAAGACCCGTGAACGGTGAAACATTTTATCTTTGACCTGACCTGTGACGTCATCGGTGACCCCGAGGTCAATGAAATTTGGTTTCCTTCAACAAATTTGACAGGGCTATCGAACGCCTTTGAATTTTTCGGATCCGTCCAGTAGTTTCGGAGATGCGGGGGGCAACAAAATGCCCCCCCCCCCCCCACCGCGCGGAAGGTGGCCGGGAGGCCCACCGCCTGCCGGGTTAAGTGCCTGCTTGTGAACCAACACTGCGACCCTCGACGCCTACCAAGCCAATGTTTACCTTCATTCAGCATTCTGGATTTAACAAAAAATCCTATATGTAATTAAACTATCGGAAAAGCAAAACTCATTACTTGACAACTTGAAGAAAAGCTCAGCAAAGGGTTCACCGCAAAGGGTCCACCTCAAAGTTCAAACATGCTTGGTAGTCCGCATTGAAATGATGAATCCAGAAGTCCCAGGCTTACTGTATCATAACTAGCAGTATCACTGAACTATATAATGTGGAAGGCGCATCGGCCACCAGATGGTGTCCAACGGTGCCACCATGTTGCGCAGACCAGGAAGCGGCCGCCGCCTGTGTTGGGGAATAGGGAATTCGGGACCTCGATTTACGTTTACGGCGGCTGCATCCGTCACGCTCAAGCTATGTAGACACGGAATCCGGCATCCTACGCAGAATTGAGTGGAGAACAAGATGACATCTTAAAAAATCCTCAACTACAGGGAACTTATACGTTAAACCGTTATAAGTCAATGGGGAAATATGGAAATTACTATTTTGGTGCCGGGAATGATCTGAAACTATCTCAAGCATATACATAGAATCGCGATTTCATGCACTCCTTGCAAGGTCCAATGCTTCACATTTTCATTGTTACCCTTGCGTGACGTCATCTGTGACGTCACAAGGGTCATAAACTTTTCTTCAATAACTCCCGATCAAATTGAGCTAGAGATATGGGAAAGCCACAAATGGACTCAGAAAGACCTGCCGAATTGAAAGATATGCAGCATGACCTTACTCGACCAGCTTCGTGACCTGAGAGCTCTGACCTGCCCTTGTCACGAGGTCAATTCCGTAAATTGACCTCACCCTAACAAAAAGTATATCACTCGATGCGCCTGAGCCAGGTGAACACGATTATGCCAAAATCGCGGCTCTAAGGCCATTTTTTGCGAAGTTATTTACCAAAAACCGAGCCCGAGCCCGTACCTTAGGTCACTTGACCTGACCTCAGAGGTCACCGGTTGACCTGAGACCTTTAAAGCGGATTCCTATCAGTCACTCTGCATTGTACTCTGCCTCATACGACCACTTTACGACCACTTTACGACCAGGCCTTAAATTTTAGTTGAATTAGCGGCGCGTTAGCGAGGTGGGTTCAATCAACCCCTCTTGACCGGGGCAAATGTAGAAAGGCGATGGTCCAGCAAGTGAATTTGAGGAATTCTGAAGATTTGATCGTGTTCCCCACTCAATTCTGCGTGAGATGCCGGGTTCCGACCTACGTAACTTGAACGTAACGGATACGGCGGCCGCAAACGTTAATCGAGGTCCCGAATTCCCTATTCCTCAACACAGGCGGAGGCCGGTTCTTGGTCTGCGCAATATGGCCGCCACCATTAGACACTATGGCCAATAGCATTGAAGCGGCAGTGCTCCCGTGAGCAGTATTATCCGCATCAGCTGACACTTACCACAGCCAGAGTGGTTAGAATGCACCCAGTGGTGTATGCTCTGGTCACAGGTGGCATGTTCAAATACTCTTCTACCATTGGATGGAATGCCATGACTCGTAATTGCAGTTGGAACTTCAAGTGGCTCTACAATCTACAGTAGCATAACAGTCTCTGATAGTCTCTACTCTCTGGGTCTTGGCTTGTAACTTGACTTGTATTATGCAACAAAAAAACTCAAGTTTATGAGCATGTAGATTTGCAGGCAGCATCAAACTGAAAAAAATCAAGCACATTCATCAAATCAAATCAAACACACCAACCAGGGCCCTGTTTCACGGGCGATAGCAATGGACAGTAATTTTTGATGTATCACACTTATACCAACCGTATTTCGTACAACGAAATTAGACACCGACGACACCATTTCGATGTTTACGCAGTTATTTCATTTATTACGCCGATGTTATTTATATTGATGCAATGCTATATAAACCTTGCATAGGCCACGGTATATATAGAGTACTAGGTAAAACCGGTTCGAAATTACAACACTAAGGTATTTTGACCACTATTTTCAGCTGACCCTTTAAAGGGACCCTCCCACCTTAACATTAGTTTTGAGTTGAGATAGCCAAGTTTGCGGCCAGGCTCAGAAACCACCATTTATCCTGGTCGCAACCCCCGCAGCTTTATGGTGTTCAAGAAATGTCTTCCCTTTACTTGCAGGGTGGGACCAGCGTAGTCCCTATCTCTTAACCATTACGGGAATCTGATGACGTCATCAGGCTTTCGAACGTCCGTTAAATGTTTGACTAAAACGTTTTGTAGCACGCGGTGGTATATACTGCTTTGCGCGCAACAAATGCCGCACTTTCAAATAAAGTCGCTAGGAACAGCGGAGATCCCAAAAAGTGAACAAAAGTAAAAGTCTAATATCTTGAAAACCGGTGAATATTTTTCGATGAAATTTGGTAGATATTCGTTTTTGCTCTTTCTGAACCGAGCGACATCACTTTCATGCCAATTCATTAACTTTTTTGAAGGTGGGAGGGTCCCTTTAAGTCTAAAAAAGAGAACTAAGCAACAAATTTCAATGAGTTTTATTATTTGTATATATATTTTTGATTTATGATCAGAGACCACGCCATGTATGAATCTGTGAAGCATTAACGAAAATCCAAGAGGAAGAAACATGCAAATGTGAACTTCTACATGAATCGCCAGGCTTTCCAGCTGAGGAAAAAGAAGAAGTTGCTTTGGAGCACCTACTGTCGTACCCAGAGCCTGCTTGACCACGCCCGCTTCAAGCGCTGCAGCAATGAGCTGAGGAGGCTGACCAGGAGTCTTCGCAAGGATTATGAGAGGAAACTTGCTGCAGACCTAAAGCACAACCCAAAAGGATTCTGGAGGTACACCAACACCAGACTCCGGACCAGAAGCCATCTTGCAACCATGAAGGACAAAGACGGCTCTGTTGTCTCAGATAGCCAGAAGATTGCAAACATCTTGAACAGTTTCTTTGGCAGTGTCTTCACGGTTGAAGGACCTGGCACTACACCGACTCTAGACGGCAGCTTCAACGGTCCGTCACTGGAAGATGTCGATGTGTCTCCCCAGAAGGTTGAAGCAAAACTGGCTGCACTTAACCCACGAAGCTCCCCAGGGCCTGACAGTATCCGACCCAGTGTACTTCGTAACTCTGCGAGCGTCTTATCTTACCCCCTCAGTCTCCTCTTCAGGAAATCTCTGGACTCTGGATGTCTACCCGCAGAGTGGAAGACAGGGGAGATAACGCCCATCTTCAAAAAAGGAGATCGTCAGGAGCCAACAAGCTACAGACCCGTGAGTCTCACTGCAGTGCCGTGCAAAGTGCTTGAGTCACTGGTAAGGGACAGCCTACTTGCACACCTAACCTCAACTGGCCAGCTACATCAGGCTCAGCATGGGTTTCTCCCCAAAAGGTCTTGCACCTCACAGCTCCTGGGGGTGATTGAGGACTGGACTGCTGCCATGGAAGAGGGAGTTCCTGTTGATGTGGCGTACTTAGACTTTGCCAAGGCATTCGATTCGGTACCACACAAGCGACTCCTAGGCAAGTTGAGGTCTTATGGTGTGTCGGGTCGACTCCTGAACTGGATCCAGGCCTTCCTGTTTGAGCGCCTTCAAAGGGTGGTTGTTCGGGGATGCAAGTCAGCCTGGGCTCCAGTAACAAGCGGCATTCCGCAAGGCACCGTCCTCGGTCCTGCACTTTTCACAGTGTATGTGAACGACATGCCAGCACAGGTCACCAACACAGTGAAGATGTTCGCAGACGATACCAAGCTGTACTGCAAGATGACTGCCAACCACGATGGCCTGCAGGACGACATCGACGCTCTGGTCCGCTGGTCGGAGACATGGCTGCTCCCCTTCAATGGTGCGAAGTGCAAGACCATGCACCTAGGCTTCCACAACCCAGACCGCACGTACCACTTGAATGGAACTGCTGTCGCCACCTGCGAGGAGGAACGAGACCTAGGTATTATCATCGACAGGCAGCTAAGATTCCACAAGCAGACAGCCGCTGCCGCCGCCAAGGCTTCACAGATACTCGCAGTGATCCGTCGGTCGTTTGCGAACCTGGATGAGTTCACTTTACCTCTTCTTTTCAAGGCCTTAGTCCGACCCTTCCTCGAGTTTGGGAACGCCATCTGGGGTCCATTCTCCAAAGAAGACCAGAAGAGACTGGAGAGGGTGCAGCGACGCGCGACCCGCCTGATCACGGACCTCAGAGACCTGCCGTACCCTGACAGGCTTCGCCGCCTCGGCCTCCCATCGCTGCACTACCGCCGTCGTCGTGGAGATATGGTGACCGTGTACCAGCTCTTCCCGGGACTTCTGGATGTGCCGCTTGAGTCACTGCTGACGAGACACGAAGCGCAAAACACGCGAGGCCACCAGTGGAAGCTGAGGAAGCCAAACGCCAAGCATCTTTCTCGCAGGAACGCGTTCAGCGTCAGAATCATCAACGATTGGAACGCCCTGCCAACAGACGTTGTCGCTGCTGAGTCGCTGTCGTCTTTCAAGGCGCGGCTGGACCGGCACTGGTCGAGCGTGATGTTCGACATCCCTACCCTGTACTAAGGACCATAGCCTCTCCGATTATGCCTTTCACTCGATACGAGCGGGACCCATAGGCCGAGTGGCCTTATAACCCGATGACCAACTAAGGTAAGGTAAGGTAAGGATAAATTGTTGGCTATCTCCGCCATTTCAAAAATTATATATCTTAAGTTGCAAGGATTGTTCATGGACAAAATTAATTTTTCACAATCAAAATTTAAAATTGAAGGACAAAAAGTAATATCAAAGGCCAACTCCCTTTTGTTGAATTTCGAAATTACCTTGGTTCTGAGCTGTTCAGCCTACCGGACCTGCCAATGCTCTACCATGAATTGTCGAGTAACTTCAGTGATGTGGGGCTTACAACATGGTCAAAAAATATCAAAATTGAATTATCTATCAGATTCTGTGCCTTTTGTTGCGTTTTAAAGGTTGGAAACTGTGTTTAGTTGATGTTCAATACATAACCACCATTGCTGTCCATGGTTACCCTGTTCCACTATATGTAATGATTCTCAAAAACTAGATCGATGTGGGGTCTAAATATTTCACTAAAATTAACAGAATCGCTTACATTATAACATATGAAAATGTCAAAACGTAAGAAACGCGGGAAATTAAAAAGATTTACGTCTAATTCTAAAACTTCGAATTTTGAATACAAAACAGTTCTGGACGAAAACATAGCTAGATGGCGAACTAGTCATTGTTGGGCTCAAAAAGACCCTTTATTGAAATAAAATTCAATTTTCTTCCAAAATATGTATGATTTATTGCAGTTTAAGAATTAAAAGATGCATTATTTTGGTCTGGTGTGCGTTGACTTCCTTGCCGCCTAAAGTCACACGGTGAGAGTTAATGGCATATTAATAGAAAAGAAGACCGATGTGGGGTCTATTTAAAGCATGATAGTAAACAAAATTGAATTTTGTATCTATTGGTATAGGTTTTTAAACAAAATAAACGCGGGAACTTTACGAAACGTGGTATTGAAAACTGCCGACCATAATTATCACCCGCAGTTGCGCGCAGTTTTCTGTACTGCTATCGCTAGCAAACGCCAGCTTTTGTATTTGATTGGTTTAACGGCGTTTCTTTTACTGATTGAGAACACTTTTAAGTTTCAAGCTATTCAGCATGGCTTTGTCTTTGAATTTTCTTGTTGGATTTGTTTTTGATAGGCCACGGAACAGGAAACGGATTTTGAAATGTATTTTTATTGTGAGTTTATCTGTGCCGGGTGGGGTGGATCTGTGTCAAGTTTCTTTTCTGTGGTTAGTTGAGATACAAATCAAAATAGTTTTATATTGATTTGCCATCGGGATTATTAGGTAGGTACCTATCCCGAAGTATGTACCTAGTCTACCTGAAGTCAAGTCTATATAAACCCCTCACCCAGATTCATTTTGGTCCTCTGCTCTCTTGTTTCCATGATCCTGATCCTCTCCTTCTCTTCTGCGTCTCAATCTCCTGCTTCAGGTTGAGACCCTCAGCTATGGTTGGCCATTTCGAGTTGTGCTTTTGGAGCTTGCAGCAATGCGTGTTGCAAGTAACTCACCAGAAAAGATGATGCTCTGAGAATTAATAAACAAAAGCCCACAAAGTCCTGTAATTGACAAGTTACATGGATAAGTTTGAGTTATTATATTAAAAAAGTCTTGCAATGTGTGTAGCGATCATGAAATACATGCCCTCCGCGGGCTTTGTCCACCTCTCCCAAACATCCACCCTGCTAAGGGTTGGACAGACAACTATCCGATGGGGGAAGCCTGGAGGTTCCCCCAGGGTCCAATCTTATAAAATGTCTTACTATTCTATTCACGACATTTGGTAACATTTATGGTGATGTCAGTGCTGTCAGTGCTGAGTCTGGGTGACTGAGTCTTGACAACTCACCTCAACCTGGGTGTCTGCCCAGACCAATGTTTCCTCATAATGTCTCCAGGTCTCCACTGCTCTCCTTGCCTATTTCAGCTGTCTACCCCTGCACGCCTGATTCCTGACTCCCTCTCTCATTCGCTTTACCCAGGTTTTGCCAATGTTCTGAGTGTGCAGTTGCTGCTTTTTGGTGCGCACACACCCCAGACTCTCCATCCAATTAACGCCCGAACAGTTGCTGAAAGTGCCTCCCACCAGACTTGCTGAATGGCTACTACTTGCATATGCTATCTGGACTGAAGCTTCCCCAACTAGCTGCCATGGCTCTCGGCAGCTGGGCTTAATAGGTCACAGGTCAAAGTTCATTTGGGTGAGGTTCATAAAATGTCAAGGACATGTGTAAAATGGATCAACTGGAGGGTACTGAAAGTTTCGTCGCAATCGGCGTCTTTTTTATGCGAGTTATGAGTTATCCGCGAAAAACCGAGGAGGGGTCCGTTCGACCCCCCCCCCCCATACGGGCGAGGGTTAGGCCACATTCGGAAAGTCAAGCTACATCTAGCTAGGCACATCAGCATATCACGGGCGTTTGACTAGTAAAATATAGACATTTGCAGC